GCTCCTCACTCAATTCACCCTGGGGTTTCAGCCCCCCTTTCTCCTCGCCCTCTCACTCCACTAACCAAAGTCCAGGAGGATTCAGGCCTTTCCCTTCCACTCACCCACCCAAGGGGTTTCAGCCCCTTCCCTTCCACACAGCCACCCAAGGGGTTTCAGTCCCTTCCATTCCGCTCACCCACCCAAGGGGTTTCAACACCTTCTTTTCCTCTCACCCTCCTGAGGGGTTTCAGCCCCTTCTCTTTCACTCACCCACCCAAGGGGTTTCAGCCCCTTCTCTCTCACTCACCCTCCCAAGGGGCTTCAGCCCCTTCCCTTTCACTCACCCACCCAAGGGGTTTCAGCCCCTTCTCTCTCACTCACCCTTCCAAGGGGCTTCAGCCCCTCCTCACCTTCCCTTGCGAGCAGTAGGAGCAGCAGACAGCCCACTTCCCATAGGAAACAGCACCCTCAGGGGATGCGCCTTGTGGGGCGAGGAGTGGTAGTGAAAAATCGCTTCCAGCCCAAGACTCAAATCCCACCCCCGACGTAGCTAGAGCTGACGCGAACCAGAGCCGCCGGCCGGTCGGCTCTGACGGTGTCCATTAAGCTTTGAACGCCAGTTCGGTTACTTGAGCACCGAGTGCCGTGCCGCGTAGATTCCACCCACCACACCCCACCCACAAGACACAACACTAGAGGATGCTGCCCCTAAGGCAGTGACCTGCCTACATGCTCCCATGCTCCCCCCCACCCAACCCCCCCTACACTCACCCCCATGCCTCCTTACCTCTACTTACCTGTACTTACCCAGCCGTGCAGAGCGCCATGATGCTGAGGCTGCTGGGAAGTGGAAGGGGGGGGGATTAGGGGAGGGCGGGACTCCACTGTGGTCCAGGAAAAGAGCTGCTGGGAGGGAAGGGAAAAGGGAGAGAGGGGGAGGTGAGTGAGAGGGGGAGGTGAGTGAGAGGGGGAGGTGAGTGAGAGGGGGAGGTGAGTGAGAGGGGGAGGTGAGTGAGAGGGGGAGGTGAGTGAGAGGGGGAGGTGAGTGAGTGCTGTGGTCCACTTTCCTGCTCTTGCTCCAGTGCTTCCACACTCTGCTTGTAGGGGGGATGGGGTTGAGAGAGAGGAGAGGGGATCAGATAACCATACCTCACCTGTTACCATACCATACCACACCTGTAACAGACCTCACCTCACCCACAACTACACCTAGCCTAGCCTGCCCCCTAGCCCCCCAGCCCCCACTGCTGCTACTGCTGCTTCTGCCGCTGCTTCTGCTGCTGCAACTGCTGCTGTCGATCTGCTACTCTGCTTCGTCTGCTGCAATCTTCTCTTGACGCCAGATGACCTGGTAGCGGACCGAAACGGGGGGAAAGAGAAAGGAGAGGGGGGCAGGGGGAACAGGTGAGCTGGCATGACCAGAAGAACACTTGAAGGGACAAAACAGGAAATGCAGAATTGAAGAAAATGCTGCTGCAGCGAGTGAGATGACATACCTTGAGGAGCCAAGCCCACCCCCATACTCTCCCTCCCAACACCAGTCCCAGTCCGCTGCAGTGCTGCCTCCTTCCCATCCCCGTGTATTCTCTCTTGCAGGGCTGAGGTGAGGAAAAGGACGGGAGGAGAGGGAGAGGGGAGGGTAATGAGCAAACACACAGGTAAGAACGAAGTGAGAGCAAAGCGCGGTGAAAGAGCAAAGCGACTCCATGCATGAATGAATGGAGTGACTGCAGTGGCACACCCAAGAGACTCCATACCAGAACCAGTCTAGACCGATAGTTGAGCCTATACCAAATACCTTCACCTGCTACCTTGGGGGAGGGAGGTCTCATGGGTGTGGCACAGGGCAGTGGGGAAGCAATGTGATGCATGTGCAAGCAAGGCATAAAAGCAGCAAACGTGAAGAGAGAAGAGGCAGGGCGGGGGTACTTATCTTTGATTTGGTTGGGTGGAGAGCAGCTGCTGCTTGTGCACTCCATGTCCCCCGCCACTCTCGTGTGAGCGACCTGCTGGGACGAGAGGGGGCAGAACGGAACAGAGAGAGCAAGGAGGAGTGGGAGGAGAGGAGGGGAGTGCAAAGGGGGACCAGAGGAGGTGTGAGGGCAATTAAGGAAGAAGCAAAGCCGATTGAAAGGAAAGAGAGCAGCAAGTGCTGAAATTATGCATGCATGAATTGACTGCTGCAGTGACACACCCAAGAGACCTCATACCAGCTGAACCAGACTATACCAAATACCTTAACCTGCTACCTTGGGGGAGGGAGGCCTCGTGGGTGTGGCACAGAGCAGTGGGGACGGGATGTGATGCATGGTGCAAGCAAGGCATGAAAGCAACAAGCATGTGAGGTTAAGGGTAAGAGAGGCAGTGTGGGGTACTTATCTGTGGGTGGGTTGGTGGAGAGCCGGTGGTCGGCACACTTGCAATACTCAACCATTGTTGCTGCTGGCGCTGCTGCCTCTCCCGCTGCCTTAGTCATCCATGCCTCCCCTTCCCATGCTGCCCAGTGAGGTGCAGGGAGGGAGGGGGGAGGCAGAAAGGGAGGAAGTGAGTGCAGGGGTGCAAGCAAGGAGCAAGGAAGACACATGCAAGTAGAGTCCAGCAAAACTCGATGAAGAGAAGAATGGTGAGAGCAAGGATGCAAGGGGGACACGCCTGAGGGTGACTACCACGTTATACCACACCTGGGGCTGTGAGTACCTGCTACCTTAGGCTGACCGTACCATCTATTACATGGGGAAGTGGTGAGTTCCCTGGGCGTGTCCCCTTGCAGCACGAGCAGCGATAAGTGCGTGAGAATGTGCATCGTGCAGCAAGGCAGGAGGCGGAGGTGAGAACCTTGGGGGTAGTGTACTTAGCTTCGCAAGGGGTCGGTGCAGAGAAGATCCGAGGCAGGTGGAGTGAGTGTGGCACTCGCTGCTCCCCACCCGTGCGAAACAGAAGAGCCCGCTCTCCCGATTCCCATCCCCCATCCGCGATCTCCCGTTTCCCATCCCTCATCCCCGATCTCCCGTTTCCCATCCCCCATCCGCGATCTCCCGTTTCCCATCCCCCATCCGCAATCTCCTTTTTCCCATCCCCCATCCCCGATCTCCCGTTTCCCATCCCCCATCCCCGATCTCCCGTTTTCCAAAACGCGGAAGGATCCGCACATGTGCAGGGGAAGTGCAGCGGGCGCGCTTCATTCGCGAGCGCCGACGATGCTCGCAACCCTCCCACGCCCTTGCTGGCTTGGCAATAGGCCCAGACAAGCGCAGCCACGTGACCCGGTGAAAGAAAAACGCTCGCAACGAGCGCTTCCAGCCCCAAAACGCGGAAGGATCCGCACATGTGCAGGAAGTGCAGCGGGCGCGCTTCATTCGCGAGCGCCGATGACCGATGATGCTTGCAACCCTCCCACGCCCTTGCTGGCTTGGCAATAGGCCCAGATTAGTGCAGCCACGTGACCCGGAGGAAGAAAAACGCTCAGAACGAGCGCTTCAGCCCAAAAACGCGAAAGGATCCGCACATGTGTAGGAAGTGCAGCGGGCGCGCTTCATTCGCGAGCGCCGATGACCGATGATGCTCGCAACCCTCCCACGCCCTTGCTGGCTTGGCAATAGGCCCAGCTAAGTGCAGCCACATGACCCGGCGGAAGAAAAACGCTCGCAACAAGCGCTTCCAGCCCCAAGCAATAGGCCCAGACAAGCGCAGTCACGTGACCCGACGGAAGAAAAACGCTCGCAACGAGCGCTTCCAGTCCCCAAACGCGGAAGGATCCGCACATGTGCAGGAAGTGTAGCGGGCGTGCTTCATTCGCGAGCGTCAATGACCGATGATGCTTGCAACCCTCCCACGCCCTTGCTGGCTTGGCAATAGGCCCAGACAAGCGCAGCCACGTGACCCGGCGGAAGAAAAACGCTCGGAACGAGCGCTTCCAAGCCCAAAACGCAGAAGGATCCGCACATGTGCAGGAAGTGCAGCGATCGCTCTTCATTCGCGAGCGCCGATGATCGATGATGCTCGCAACCCTCCCACGCCCTTGCTGGCGTGGTATTAGGCCCAGACAAGCGCAGCCACGTGACCCGGCGAAAGAAAAACACTCGGAACGAGCGCTTCCACCCCCAAAACGCAGAAGGATCCGCACATGTGCAGGAAGTGCAGCGGGCGCTCTTCATTCGCGAGCGCAGATGACCGATGATGCTCGCAACCCTCCCACGCCCTTGCTGGCTTGGTAATAGGCCCAGACGACCGCAGCCACGTGACCCGGCAGAAGAAAAACGCTCGGAACGAGCACTTCCAGCCCCAAAACGCGGAAGGATCCGCACATGTGCAGGAAGTGCAGCGGGCGCTCTTCATTCGCGAGCGCCGATGATCGATGATGCTCGCAACCCTCCCACGCCCTTGCTGGCGTGGTATTAGGCCCAGACAAGCGCAGCCACGTGACCCGGCGAAAGAAAAACACTCGGAACGAGCGCTTCCACCCCCAAAACGCAGAAGGATCCGCACATGTGCAGGAAGTGCAGCGGGCGCTCTTCATTCGCGAGCATCAACGACCCGAATGTTGTTGCATATTCGGGTGGCCCATGTTTAAATACACCTACCAGAGCAACTTCAGCTTGGTTCGCACGCATAGATAAGTTCGTCGCCCGAGATGACGGCCGTGCCTGCCGACAAATGCGAAGGAAGCGCATGGATCCCTATAGGCGTGGGGAAAAGCATCCAACGACCAGAATGTTGTTGCATATTCAGGTGGCCCACGTTCAAATACACCTACCAGAGCAACTTCAGCTTGGTTCGCACGCGCAGAAAAGTTCGGCGCCCGCGATGGCGGCCGTGCCTGACGACAAATGCTAAGGAAGCGCATGGATCCCTATAGGCGTAGAAAAAAGCATCCAACGACCCGAATATTGTTGCATATTCGGGTGGCCATGTTCAAATACACCTTCCAAAGCAACTTCAGCTTGGTTCGCGCGCATAGAAAAGTTCGGCGCCCGCGATGACCGCTGTGCCTGCCCACAAATGCTAAGGAAAGGAAGCGCATGGGTGATGAGAGTAGGGAGAAGGGTGATGAGAGAAGGGAGAAGGGAGATGAGAGTAGGGAGAAGGGTGATGAGAGTAGGGAGAAGGGTGATGAGAGTAGGGAGAAGGGTGATGAGAGTAGGGAGAAGGGTGATGAGAGTAGGGAAAAGGGAGATGAGAGTAGGGAAAAGGGTGATGAGAGTAGGGAGAAGGGTGATGAGAGAATGTTAAGGGTGATGAGAGTAGGGAGAAGGGTGATGAGAGTAGGGAGAAGGGTGATGAGAGAAGGGAGAAGGGTGATGAGAGTAAGGAGAAGTGTGATGAGAGTAGGGAGAAGGGTGATGAGAGTAGGGAGAAGGGTGATGAGAGTAGGGAGAAGGGTGATGAGAGAAGGGAGAAGGGTGATGAGAGTAAGGAGAAGTGTGATGAGAGTAGGGAGAAGGGTGATGAGAGTAGGGAGAAGGGTGATGAGAGTAGGGAGAAGGGTGATGAGAGTAGGGAGAAGGGTGATGAGAGTAGGGAAAAGGGAGATGAGAGTAGGGAGAAGGGTGATGAGAGTAGGGAGAAGGGTGATGAGAGAATGTTAAGGGTGATGAGAGTAGGGAGAAGGGTGATGAGTGTAGGGAGAAGGGTGATGAGAGAAGGGAGAAGGGTGATGAGAGCAAGGAGAAGTGTGATGAGAGTAGGGAGAAGGGTGATGAGAGTAGGGAGAAGGGTGATAAGAGTAGGGAGAAGGGTGATGAGAGAAGGGAGAAGGGTGATGAGAGTAAGGAGAAGTGTGATGAGAGTAGGGAGAAGGGTGATGAGAGTAGGGAGAAGGGTGATGAGAGTAGGGAGAAGGGTGATGAGAGTAGGGAGAAGGGTGGTGAGAGTAGGGAGAAGGGTGATGAGAGTAGGGAGAAGGGTGATGATAGTAGGGAGAAGGGTGATGAGAGTAGGGAGAAGGGAGATAAGAGTAGGGAGAAGGGTGATGAGAATAGGAAGAAGGGTGATGAGAGGAGGGAGAAGGGAGATGAGAGTAGGGAGAAGGGTGATGAGAGTAGGGAGAAGGGTGATGAGAGTAGGGAGAAGGGTGATGAGAGTAGGGATAAGGGTGATAAGAGTAGGGAGAAGGGTGATGAGAGTAGGGAGAAGGGAGATGGGAGTAGGGAGAAGGGTGATGAGAGTAGGGAGAAGGGTGATGATGTTATAGTCACAATAGGCTTGAATGTGCCTAAAACGAAAGATAGAGAGCACAGACGGATTTCTGCACAGCGGCTTCAAACGTTGATAGCGTTCTGCTCACAGCTGAAAATGACTTGATTCAAATTGGATCTGGAGCGTCTTCACGTCGCCTACAATTAGCAATTTAGATTGCACGATTTGATAAAGAATTGACGACACAGCGTCGGTTTGAACGAACGGTACTATGGCAGCCACTATAGTCTTAGAACACAAGATAGGAAGAGTTACGAGTTGGGAATGACTCCCAGCTCCTACAAACCCCAAGAGCCGAGGTACAGTGATGTGGAACAGTGCCACACTGTCCCCAACCACGAAGGGTCTCGAAACTACCCTTCACTAGGGCCTACACCAAGTGAAATGTTACACTACACAAAGTAATGTAACTATCTTCAATATCTTGAGGTGTACCCTTTTGGCAAGCTTCGAAATCACTTGAGGCTTGACACCAAGGCTCGGGCTCTTCATCACAAACTCATCCTTGAGTTCTTGATGGGTCTGCTGCACACACCTGCGACACGCCGAACGTTCGACACATGACAAAATAGAAACCGCGCACGACAAAATAGAAACCGCGCGCGAGACACAAACGACCGCGTAACACGCGTCTAGCGATAACTCGCTATTGACTCGACACACACACTCGACATCATGACTCAACATTCACACACAATTATAAGCATGAAATATATATTATCCCATGCTCTCATACCATTCCATACACACACACATTCACGCACACGGACAACAAGCCGAGTGCAAACCGTAGGGTTGCACCAACAAACTCCCCCTCGGATTGTTGGCCTTAGGATATGTTGCTCTCTCAGTTCAGAGCCATCCCAGCCAGCTTGCAACACTTCCAATGCTGCTGCTCCACCAGCCTCTTGGTCATCATGTCAGCCGGCTGCCCCGTGGTCTTCACGTAGCGCAACTCAACTTCACCCGCGGTTACCATGCTCCTCGTCCAATGCCACTTCACCCTCATGTGCTTCGTGAGTCCATGCAACACAGGGTTCTTAGCAAGAGCAATGGCACCCTGGCTGTCACAGTAAAGTGGGGTAGGTCCTTGCTGCTCCTCCCCCAATTCAGCCAACAAACGCCGCTGCCACACAATCTCCCGTACGGCACGGAAGAGTGCCATGTACTCGGACTCCACCGAGCTCAAAGCTTGGTCAACCTGCTTCTTGCTCTCCCAAGCAGTTGGGCCTCCACCAACACAGCATATGAAGCCTCCCACACTTGTCATGTCCTCTGGTTCTGATGCATATGAAGCATCCGAGTAGGCGGTGAGGAACAAACGCCCGGGTTCAACACCATCCGCGCCCTTTTGGCGCCTTTGTGCCGCCGCCGAGTATTGCAGCCCAACGGTCGGTGTTTGGCCAAGATACTTGGCCACCCTCATTCCAGATGCTACCTGCTCCTCATTAGGGCATTGCACAACCCTAGCCAGCTGCCCGGTAGCAAACGCGACGTCCGGTCGGGTGTTTACCGCCGCATACATGAGGCTGCCCACCAACGAGTGAAATCAGCGCCTCTCCTCTTCACCAACGCTCTCCTCCTCTGGTCCCTTCACACACTTGAACCCAGAGGGAAAGGGTGTAGCCACATGGCCTTCACTCTGCCCAAAGTTGGCAGCCAATGCCTCCAGGTACTTTCGTTGATGCACCCGCATGCACCGCTTCTCCACATCTCGTTCGATGTGGAGCCCAAGGTAGAAGCTCACGTCACCAAGGGCCTTGCACTTGAACTTGTCTTGAAGCTTCAGCATCACCTCCTTCACAAGGTCAGAAGAGGGTGAGAAAATGAGGATGTCATCCACATAAACCACCATGAAACTCCTCTGCTCCCCCTCGCCAAGCATGAACAAGGAGTGATCGGCCGTTGAGGGAGTGAAGCCGATCCCCTCCAACACTTCGCGCAGCTTCATGTACCATTGCCTAGGGGCCTGCTTCAGCCCATAGAGGGCCTTCTTCAGCTTCCACACTCTGCCACTACCATCATCAAACCCCTCTGGCTGCGCCATAAAAATCTCCTCCTCAAGGATGCCGTTAAGGAATGCCGTTACGATGTCCATTTGCTTTACTACCCATCCTTTGATGGCGGCTCCCGCGAATAGGGTTCGCAGCGTCGTCGGCTTCACCACAGGGGCAAACAGCTCCTTGAAGTCCACCTTCTCCTTCTGCTGGTACCCCTTGGCTACAAGCCTAGACTTGTAGCGCTCGATCTTGCCGTCGGCATCCGACTTGATTTTGAAGAGCCACTTGGACGTTATCGCCGTACGCCCCTCCGGTAGCTCCACCAATTCAAACGTGCCATTCTCCTCGATGCTCTTCAGCTCACTCTCCATGGCCTTCTTCCACTCCTCAGCATCACTACTCTCCAAAGCCTCCTTGAGAGTTGCTGGTTCTCTCGGCATCTCCACCGGAGAGAAGAACGCGAAGGCACACTCCTCGTAGTCACTCTCCTCGTCGTCTCCGACCATCATTGCCGCTCCGGCCAGGGCTGTCTTGCCCTGCTTTCCCGGTGCATCATAGGTCAGCCTATTAGGGGGTTGAACTCTCCTCTTCCCCCTTCCTTCCTCCTCAGCTGCAGGGACTTGAAGGCCTTGGCGTTGCTACTGTGTGGCTCGAATCCGTGGAGCACTCGTAGTACGGGAAGGGAGTGACGGTGCACGCTCGCTCACTTGCTGCACCTCCTCCTCTTCTTCCTCTGCATCATTGGCCTCCTCTCCCCCATTCACAAGGGAGGATTGCCTTGTGGTTGTGCTGCCGCTGCTCAGCTCCAAAGGCAGCTCCACATGCTCCAAACCGGAACTCTTCACCTCCCCAAACCGCACGCCTATCTTCGCCTCATTCTCCGCCTTCCAATCCTTGTACATGAAGTTCTCCATGAACTTGCAGTCCCTGCTCACCAAGAACTTCTTGGTGAATGGGTCCCAAAGAAGCCATCCCTTGCTGTTTTGAGCCATGCCCAAGTGCACGGCCCACACCGCCTTGGCACCAAGCTTGTTGTGCCGAAGATGCTTAGGCACGAGCGCCATGCACATGCACCCGAACACCCGAAGCATATCCACCTTTGGATTCCTTCCTAGCCACTCCACATAGGGCACCCATTTGTCTGCTCCCACATGAATCAAGGCTCTGTTCTTGGCCACACACGCGCTCCGCACCGCATCAGGCCAGAAATAGTCGGGTAGCCCGGCTTCAATGAGCAACCCGCGTGCCGCCTCCGTGATTGTGCGGTTCGCTCGCTCGGCGATGCCGTTCATTGCAGGGGAGTATGGCATGGTGAGGGAGTGCCGAATACCATTCTTCTTCAGCCACAACCCAAACTCCTTGCTCAGGAACTCTCCCCCTCGATCGGTGCAGATTGACTTGACTAGACGGTCTTGTTGCCGCTCCACCATCGGGAACCAATCCGTCTTCAACGTTTCAGCCACGTCGCTCTTCTTGGCCAGCACGTACACCCAAGTCATGCGGGTGTAGACGTCGACAATGGTGAGAAAATACTCAGCTCCAGCAGCTCCAAGCTTCAGGGGGCCCACCACGTCCATCACCACCTCATCAAGCGGTGCCTTTGCCGTTGCCTCCGAACTAGGGAACGGAAACCGGGTGAACTTGGCTTGAATGCACGTCGGGCAGCCAAGCACCTCATCGGGCTCCCCCTTCACACGTATGCCAGCAACCATCTCATTCTTCACTAGCTGCTGCAAGATGGGCAGGGCCACATGCCCCATGCGCCGATGCAAGGTGAGCCAATCACACTCCCCCGTAGCCGAAGTTGGATTGGAGAATGCCGCGCTCGCAATAGCGCCCCACATACTCTCTCCGTAGTCCTCCTCCGCTGCTGCCTCTGGGTTCTCCTCACTCTTTTGCTGCTCCTTGGTTGCTGCACCACTCTCCTTAGGTTCACTGAACTTGCTGGTCCCTCCAGGTTTGCTCTTCTTGAGCTCATTCTCCTTAGCGCGACCGTTCACGCCATCGTCGCTACCGACCGCTCCATCCTTGTTGCTGATGCTTGCTGCCACTTGCCTCTCCTTAGGCATAGGGACCACTGGGATCTGCCACATCTCGTTGTAGACATCCCTGTCCTCATGAAGGTCCCAAAGAATTCGATCGCCAAGCCTTGCGGTGTAGGTCTTGGCTCCCTTCGAGTTCGTGTCCATGCCGGCCTTTGCCAACCGCCGCACGGAAATCAGGTTTGCAGCAAGGCTGGGCACCCAAAGCACGTTCTTGAGGCCCACCATCTTCCCATCAGCACCCTTGAACATGGCCTTGCCCATGCCTTTCACCTCTGCTCGCTGCCCCAAAGCCGATGTGACATGCTTCACCGGTGACGGCTCGAGTTCGGTGAGCAAGTCCGGGCGAGGTGTCATGCTATAGGTAGCGCCACTATCAATCACCCAATAGTCCAGGGGGTGTAGGGTCACCTTCCCCACAGCTGCTGGCTCCTCAAAGCCTTCATCCTTCTCTGGACTAGCCGGTACTTGCGTCGACACGAAGTAGAATAGACCCGGGTATCGATCGTCGCTCGGGTCCTTGTCGTTGTCTCCGCTCTTCATGTTTGCAGCTCCGCCACCGCGACCGCCACGGCCTCCACGGCCTCGTCCTCTCCCTCCTCCTGCTCCTCTACCCTCTTGGCCTTGAGCAGGGTTCCAACCATCAGGGAGTTTGTAGCAGTCGCGCCACATGTGTCCGCTCTTGTGGCAATAGTGACACTCGCCGTCGAATCGGCCGCGACCGCGTCCGTAGCTCTTGTCGTCGCTGCCGTAACCGCCACTCCTGCGGCCTCCGCCGAAGTTGCTGCCACCAAACCTTCCTCCCCCTCGTCCTCTGCCTCTTCCTCGACCATATCCACGGCCGATGCTCGCTGCCCCAGCGCCATCCCCACTCGCCAACTCACGGCGGCGGAAATCCTCTTGAAGGATAGCTCGCTTCACGTCTTCAAGCGAGAGGCGGGGCAAGTCGCGATTAAGGTTGATGATGAGCGAGGACCATGACTCTGGGAGTAAGGCCAGCAACTTGGTCTTCTTTTGGAGCTCACTGTAGTTCAAATCAGCTCCCTCAAGCCGCGTCAACAAGTCGAAGAATTTCTGCACCCCTTCTTCAACCGCTTCATCCTCTTCAATTCGTAGTGTCGCCATTTGCCGTTCCAACACCACAGCTACCGCCGCTGTTGCAGGAGCGTGTACACCCTTGAGAGCAGCCCATGCCTTTGGTCCCTTCTCTGGTTCACGCTGGAAAGGCTTGATGTGACGGATCTGGCTGCTCCCCAACGCTTGCCCTAGTAGGAGGTAGCCTTGTGCGCTCTTCCGCACCCACGGGCTCTTCTCCGGGTCGTTCTCGGGGCGCTTCTCCGTTCCTTCCATCACCTCCAGCAGGTCATAGTGATCTAACACGTTCTCCATTCTGAAGGACCACTCAGCAAAGTTGTCACCGTTGAACTTGTCAAGGCCAAACACTCTAGGCTCGTCCCTAGATGGGCCAACACTTGGTTGCACGGGCGCCATGGCTGAGTCACGGGGTTGGCCTTGAGCTTGGGCTTCTCCACTGCCACCAGCACCTCTGCCACCCCTTTCCTCAGTTCCAGCAATTGTCGAAACTGCTCCAAGGGGCTCTGATACCACTTGTTATAGTCACAATAGGCTTGAATGTGCCTAAAACGAAAGATAGAGAGCACAGACGGATTTCTGCACAGCGGCTTCAAACGTTGATAGCGTTCTGCTCACAGCTGCAAATGACTTGATTCAAATTGGATCTGGAGCGTCTTCACGTCGTCTACAATTAGCAATTTAGATTGCACGATTTGATAAAGAATTGACGACACAGCGTCGGTTTGAACGAACGGTACTATGGCAGCCACTATAGTCTTAGAACACAAGATAGGAAGAGTTACGAGTTGGGAATGACTCCCAGCTCCTACAAACCCCAAGAGCCGAGGTACAGTGATGTGGAACAGTGCCACACTGTCCCCAACCACGAAGGGTCTCGAAACTACCCTTCACTAGGGCCTACACCAAGTGAAATGTTACACTACACAAAGTAATGTAACTATCTTCAATATCTTGAGGTGTACCCTTTTGGCAAGCTTCGAAATCACTTGAGGCTTGACACCAAGGCTCGGGCTCTTCATCACAAACTCATCCTTGAGTTCTTGATGGGTCTGCTGCACACACCTGCGACACGCCGAACGTTCGACACAGGACAAAATAGAAACCGCGCACGACAAAATAGAAACCGCGCGCGAGACACAAACGACCGCGTAACACGCGTCTAGCGATAACTCGCTATTGACTCGACACACACACTCGACATCATGACTCAACATTCACACACAATTATAAGCATGAAATATATATTATCCCATGCTCTCATACCATTCCATACACACACACATTCACGCACACGGACAACAAGCCGAGTGCAAACCGTAGGGTTGCACCAACAGATGAGAGTTGAGAAAAGGGAGATGAGGCTAGGGAGAAAGGTGATGAGAGTAGGAGAAGGGAGAAGGGTGATGAGAGTAGGGAGAAGGGTGATGAGAGTAGGGAGAAGGGAGATGAGCCTGCCGACAAATGCTAAGGAAGCGCATGGATCCCTATAGGCGTAGGGAAAAGCATCCAACGACCCAAATATTGTTGCATATTCGGGTGGCCCATGTTCAAATACACCTACCCGAGCAAATTCAGCTTGGTTCGCGCGCACAGAAAGGTTCGGTGCCCGCAATGACGGCCGTGTCTGCCCACAAATGCTAAGGAAGCACATGGATCCCTATAGGCGTAGGGAAAAGCATCGAACGACCCGATTGTTGTTGCATATTCAGGTGGCCCATGTTCAAAAACACCTACCAGAGCAACTTCAGCTTGGTTCACGCGCACAGAAAAGTTCCGCGCCCGCGATGACGGCCGTGCCTGCCAACAAATGCTAAGGAAGCGCATGGATCCCTATAGGCGTAAGGAAAAGCATCCAACGACCCGAATATTGTTGCATATTCGGGTGGCTCATGTTCAAATACACCTTCTAGAGCAACTTCAGCTTGGTTCGCGCGCACAGAAAAGTTCGGCGCCCGTGATGACGGCAGTGCCTGCCGACAAATTCTAAGGAAGCGCATGGATCCCTATAGGCATAGGGAAAAGCATCCAACGACCCAAATATTCTTGCATATTCGGGTGGCCCATGTTCAAGTACACCTACCGGAGCAACTTCAGCTTTGTTCGCGCGCACAGAAAAGTTCGGCGCCCGCGATGACGGCCGTGCCTGCCCACAAATGCTAAGGAAAGGACGCGCATGGGTGATGAGAGTAGGGAGAAGGGTGATGAGAGAAGGGAGAAGGGAGATGGGAGTTGGGAGAAGGGTGATGAGAGTAGGGAGAAGGGTGATGAGAGTAGGGAGAAGGGTGATGAAAGTAGGGAGAAGGGTGATGAGAGTAGGGAGAAGGGTGATGAGAGTAGGAAGAAGGGAGATGAGAGTAGGGAGAAGGGTGCAGAGAGTAGGGAGAAGGGTGATGAGAGTAGAGAGAAGGGTGATGAGAGCAGGGAGAAGGGTGATGAGAGTAGGGAGAAGGGTGATGAGAGTAGGGAGAAGGGTGATGAGAGTAGGGAAAGGGGTGATGAGAGTAGGGAGAAGGGTGATGAGAGTAGGGAGAAGGGAGATGAGAGTAGGGAGAAGGGTGATGAGAGTAGGGAGAAGGGTCATGAGAGAAGGGAGAAGGGAGATGAGAGTAGGGAGAAGGGTGATGAGAGTAGGGAGAAAGGTGATAAGAGTAGGGAGAAGGGTGATGAGAGTAGGGAGAAGGGAGATGAGCCTGCCGACAAATGCTAAGGAAGCGCATGGATCCCTATAGGAGTAGGGAAAAGCATCCAACGACCCAAATATTGTTGCATATTCGGGTGGCCCATGTTCAAATACACATACCAGAGCAACTTCAGCTTGGATCGCGCGCACAGAAAATTTCGTCGCCCGCGATGACGGCCGTGCCTGCCCACAAATGCTAAAGAAGCGCATGGATCCCTATAGGCGTAGGGAAAAGCATCCAACGACCCCCGAATATTGTTGCATATTCGGGTGGCGCATGTTCAAATACACCTACCAGAGCAACTTTAGCTTGGTTCGCGCGCACAGAAAAGTTCGACGCCCGCGATGACGGCCGTGCCTGCCGACAAATGCTAAGGAAGCGCATGGATCCCTATAGGCGTAGGGAAAAGCATCCAATGACCCAAATATTGTTGCATATTCGGGTGGCCCATGTTCAAATACACCTTCCAAAGCAACTTCAGCTTGGTTCGCGCGCACAGAAAAGTTCAACGCCCGCGATGACGGCTGTGCCTGCCCACAAATGCTAAGGAAAGGAAGCGCATGGGTGATGAGAGTAGGGAGAAGGGTGATGAGAGAAGGGAGAAGGGAGATGAGATTAGGGAGAAGGGTGATGAGAGTAGGGAGAAGGGTGATGAGAGAAGGGAGAAGGGTGATGAGAGTAGGGAGAAGGGAGATGAGATTAGGGAGAAGGGTGATGAGAGTAGGGAGAAAGGTGATGAGAGTAGGGAGAAGGGTGATGAGAGTAGGGAGAAGGGTGATGAGAGTAGGGAGAAGGGTGATGAAAGTAGGGAGAAGGGTGATGAGAGTAGGGAGAAGGGTGATGAGAGTAGGAAGAAGGGAGATGAGAGTAGGGAGAAGGGTGTAGAGAGTAGGGAGAAGGGTGATGAGAGTAGAGAGAAGGGTGATGAGAGCAGGGAGAAGGGTGATGAGAGTAGGGAGAAGGGTGATGAAAGTAGGGAGAAGGGTGATGAGAGTAGGGAAAGGGGTGATGAGAGTAGGGAGAAGGGTGATGAGAGTAGGGAGAAGGGAGATGGGAGTAGGGAGAAGGGTGATGAGAGTAGGGAGAAGGGTGATGAGAGTAGAGAGAAGGGTGATGAGAGTAGGGAGAAGGGTGATGAGAGTAGGGAGAAGGGTGATGAGAGTAGGGAGAAGGGTGATGAGAGTAGGGAGAAGGGAGATGAGAGTAGGGAGAAAGGTGATGAGAGTAGGGAGAAGGGAGAAGGGTGATGAGAGTAGGGAGAAGGGTGACGAAAGTAGGGAGAAGGGAGATGAGCCTGCCGACAAATGCGAAGGAAGCGCGTGAATCCCTATAGGCGTAGGGAAAAGCATCCAACGACCCAAATATTGTTGCATATTCGGGTGGCCCATGTTCGAATTCACCTACCAGCGCAACTTCAGCTTGGTTCGCGTGCACAGAAAAGTTCGGCGCCCGCGATGACGGCCGTGTCTGCCCACAAATGCTAAGGAAGCGCATGGATCCCTATAGGCGTAGGGAAAAGCATAGAACGACCCGATTGTTGTTGCATATTCATGTGGCCCATGTTCAAAAACACCTATCAGAGCAACTTCAGTTTGGTTCGAGCTCACAGAAAAGTTCGGCGCCCGCGATGACGGCCGTGCCTGCCGAAAAATGCTAAGGAAGCGCATGGATCCGTATAGGCGTAGAGAAAAGCATCCAACGACCCGAATATTGTTGCATATTCAGGTGGCCCATGTTCAAATACACCTATCAAAGCAACTTCAGATTGGTTCGCACGCACAGAAAAGTTCGGCGCCCGCGATGACGGCGGTGCCGGCCGACAAATGCTAAGGAAGCGCATGGTTCCCTATAGGTGTAGGGAAAATCATCAAACGACCCGAATATTGTTGCATATTCGGGTGGCTCATGTTCAAATACACCTGTCAGAGCAACTTCAGCTTGGATCGCGCGCACAGAAAAGTTCGGCGCCCGCGATGACGGCCGTGCCTGCCGATAAATGCTAAGGAAGCGCATGGATCCCTATAGCCGTAGGGAAAACCATCCAACGACCCAAATATTGTTGCTTATTCGGATGGCCCATGTTCAACTACACATACCATAGCAACTTCAGTTCGGTTCGCGCGCACAGAAAAGTTCGGCGCCCGCGATGACGGCCGTGCCTGCCCACAAATGCTAAGGAAAGGAAGCGCATGGGTGATGAGAGTAGGGAGAAGGGTGATGAGAGAAGGGAGAAGGGAGATGAGAGTAGGGAGAAAGGTGATGAGAGTAGGGAGAAGGGTGATGAGAGTAGGGAGAAGGGTGATGAGAGTAGGGAGAAGGGTGATGAGAGTAGGGAGAAGGGTGATGAGAGTAGGGGAAAGGGAGATGAGAGTAGGGAGTGTCAGAATGAGAGAGGAGTGATGAACTAACAACATTGGGAGTACAAGTAGGAAAACCTAGAATGTTGTACCCCCTAAGGCTAAACCCACTATAGCCTACAGAATAGAAACATATACAATGTTTGACACACCCCCATAGGCTAAGTGGGAGACAACCAGATGGTCACAAGACCAGTCAAAAACAAAGCAAAGCAAAGCACAGCTCAGGGTGGACCTCAAGGATACCACACAAATTCCGAGCACAAGCAAGCGGTCACAAGACCTGTTCACATGCAGGTTGATAATACAACAAGACATATATAAGGATCACAGTACAAGCAGAGTCAGGAAGTAAGCAAGTGAGGCACAGTAGGCACAAGGCCTAGAACAGTACAGAAACGCTGATGATCACAAGGCTGAAGCGCCTTGGTGAACACATCAGCAGTGTTGGCCCGAGTGGCCACGTAAGCAAGACGAAGCTGACCACGCTGCTGCAACTCTCGAGCAAGGAAGTAGCGCAGAGCGATGTGCTTCGTTCTGTGCTCCAGTCTGTGCTCTTGACACAAGGCAATCATGGCCTTGTTGTTGACGTACAGCAATGGAGGAGAACGAGGCGGCTCTCCAAGGTCGGTCAGCAGGTAGGTGAGCCAGCGTAACTCCTGTGCAGCCATGGTCCCTGCGTAGATCTCAGCCTCACAACTGGAGCTGAGAACAGAAGTCGAGCGGGTAGACCGCGAAGAAACAGAGCCGGAGCCAAGGCTGAAGGTGTAACCCTGTGACGACCACTGCGTAGCCAAGTCGTCAGCCCAAGAAGCGTCTGCGTGACCAGTGAGGACAACTCGAGCCCGTCCTCCAAGAACGAGCCCCATGCTCGACGTACTGCACAAGTAGCGCAACACCCTCTTAGCAGCATCCATGTGCTCCTTCCTGTGTCGGCCAAGAGCAACATAGCGTGCTAGGATGCTAAGAGGGTAGGCTAGGTCAGGTCGAGTGCAGGTCATCAGGTACATGAGGCAGCCCACAAGCTCTGGATACGGGCCACTCGGCTCTACAGACTCGTCCGAAGGTGGAGCTGAGAGCGAGTGATCGGTAGGCAAAGGAGTGGACTGTGGCGAGGAGTACGTGAAGCGGAAGCGCTGAAGGACCTGCTGCACCATGTGTGACTGGGTCAAGGTAATGGTGCACTGTGCTCTGTCCCGGGTGATCCGCAAGCCAAGATAGCTTGTCAGCTCACCCAGGTCTGTGCACGTGTGTCTCTTCTGCAGCTCCGACTTCACGTGGGCGAGTGCCTCAGTGTCAGCAGTAGCAAAGACCAAGTCGTCTACGTACACGAGAACGTAGAACGGCGGCAGAGTAGTGTCGGTGCGTAGAAACAGCGACGGGTCAGCAGTAGAAGGAGCAAACCCAAGAGCCGCAAGAGTAGTCCTCAGTGTGTCGTGCCACTCACGGGGTGCCTGGCGGAGACCGTAGACTGGCCGCCGGAGGCTCCACTGGGTACCAGGAGGAAACGACCCAGTGAAGCCAGGTGGGCGGCGCAGCCAGATCTCCTCGTGCAGGCTGCCCTGTAGGAAAGCAGTGCTGAAGTCAAGAGAGTGGAGCTCGTAGTCACGCTGAGCGGCGACGTGCAGCAGAACCCGAAGAGTGGTCATCTTCGGGGTAGGGGAGAAGGTCTGGAAGAAGTCAACTCCCTCACGCTGACTGAAGCCTCGTGCAACGTAACGCGCCTTGAAGACAGGCGGAGAACCCGGCGGCCGCTTCACCCTGAAAATCCACATGCCACTGACGATGTTCGCCCCAGGCGGGGGAACCTCGTCGACGTAGGTGCCTGTGGACTTCCAGGAAGCCATCTCTGCGTCCATGGCTGACTGCCACTGAGAGGAGTAGGGAACCTCTATCGCCTCTGCGTAAGAGCGCGGGGTCGGGATGTCTGGTGCATCCGGGTCTCCCTCAGGGGCAATCAGCATGGACACGAGATGAGGTAAAGCAGCGGCAAAGCACTCAAACTCCTCCTGTCTGTCCTCAAGGACGTCCGTGCCAAGAGCACACTCACCCCCGACGGACGGAGGACAGACAGACTCAGACTCAGCAACAAGGCTAGCGGCGTAGTCTAGACGACAGGCGGCAGCAAAGTCAACAAGCTCAGCGACTAGAGCAGACGCAGCAGTGGACTCAAAGGTAGGGTCAGTGACAACAGTGGCGAGGAAACGCGTGACAGTAGGACTGGCAGCACGAAGGGAGTCAGACTCCGGGTCAGCAAGAGCAGGAAGAGAGGACGCAGGAGGAGACGGCAGAGGGACACGCTGTGGAGCAGTGGAAGGACGCAGAGTCATATAGTGAGTGCCAGGGACAGGAGGAGGACGCTCACGCGGAACACGACGACCAGCGCGGACAGCACGGACAGGCGACTCTGGACGAGACTCAGGCGACGCAGGACGAGACTCAGGCTCACGACGCTCCGTAAGACCTCTAGTCGGCCCAGTGTAAGGAGAAGGACCAGGCAGCGGAGAGGCAGGCTGTAACTGTGACTGCGACTGGACAGGCGGTGGACTCAGTAGGGGAGGAGTAGGACCAGTAGAGGGCGGGAGGCCAAGAACCTGCTGAAGGAGCGGAACGTAGTACGGCCGCGGCCGCGCAGCTCCTCCTGAACCAGCAGAGACAGCACCAGCACCTTCAGCCCCAGGGTCTCCAGCTACAACTCCCGCAGCACCACCGGCAGCTCCAGCAGCTCCAGCACCTCCAGCTCCAACTCCCGCAGCAGCTCCAGTCCCAGCAGCTCCAATACCTCCAGTACGAGCACCTCTAGGACCAGCGGCTCCAGCAGCTCCAGCACCAGCAGCACCTCCAGTTGCTCCAGCACCAGCAGCACCTCCAGCAGCTCCAGCACCAGCAGCACCTCCAGTAGCACCAGCACCAGCAGCACCTCCAGCAGCTCCAGCACCATCAGCACCTCCAGCAGCTCCAGCACCAGCAGCACCTCCAGTAGCACCAGGGCCTCCAGCAGGCGGCACCCCAGTGCTAGGAGCGCCGCTTCGGAGGCTGCAGCGCCGAGCGTACCACTCACGCAGCCGCTGTGGGGAGGGAGGCTCCGGCCGCGACACGGCACCCGCAGCACCACCAGCTCCAACTCCGGCAGAACCCCCATCTCCAGCAGCCCCACGCCGGAGGCTGCAACGCTGAGAGTACCACTCACGCAGCTGCTGTGAAGAGGGAGCGCCACCAGGCGCAGCACGGTCAGTCTCAGAACCCCCAGCCTCAGCTCCCCCAGGCTCAGCACCCCCAGTCTCAGCACCCCAAGGCTCAGCACCCCCAGTCTCAGCACCCCCAGGCTCAACACCCCCAGTCTCAGCACCCCCAGGCTCAGTACCCCCAGCCTCAGCACCCCCAGGCTCAGCACCCCCAGTCTCTGCACCCCCAGACTCAGTACCCCTCGCAGGACCAGAGTCGACAGCTACCTCGACAGGCTCGACTGGGTCTACCTGGGAAACACCTGAGGGAGCAAGACCCTGGGGAGGGAGGGGGTCTACCGAAGGGACACCTGGGGTGAGGAAGAGCGGCGGGGGGGGAAGCGGGGCAGTGCGGTAGGGGAAGAGACGGTAAAAGGGGGCCGACTCGTCAAAAGTGACGTCCTGAGAGGGGAAGACACGGCGCGAGGTGGGGTGGTAAAACTGCCAGCCAGGCGCGTCAGGGACAAAGCCAAGGAAGACACAGGGAACAGCGCGGGCGGAGAGCTTGTCCGCGGACATATCGCGGACAAAAGCACGAGATCCCCAGACCCGGAACACCGACGCATCGCCAACCTCTCCCGTCCATCGCAGTGTCGGCGAGGTCTCCGGAACGGAGACACGGGGCCAGAGGTTGAGCTGATGCGCAGCGTATCGAACCGCAAACGGCCACAGAAAATGGGGGGCAGCCGCATGGATCAGGGAGGTACAAGCGACCTCCATGACTAAGCCAATGCGGCGCTTAGCAACCCCATTTTGCTGAGGAGAGGCCGGAAGCGTGAACGACTGCTCAATGCCCTCCCCTGGCAGAAGGCCCTCAAGAGGTCGGAGGAAAACTCACCACCTCTGTCAGAGTGCAGACGCAGGACAGGAAAGTCCGTGTGGAAGCGCTTGTGCAGCTGGAGACGACTGTTGCGGATCCAAGGGATCAAAACATCAGGGACTTCACCCTTGGTGCGCAAGGGGAAGACCGAGGTGTAATGCGTGTAGTCGTCAACCACCAGCAGGAAGTAGCGCTCACCGCCCGGTCCCTTGACGCGGGCTGGGCCCCACACGTCCAGGTGGAGAGTCTGCAGGGGAGCCTCTGTCGGGGGGAACGAGGAGGAGTGAGGAGCGGCGCGCTGCCGCCCCTCGACACAGGGAAGGCAGGGAGGGGCAGGAGAGGGTGGCAGGGGAGGCAGGGTCCTGGGAAGACCAGAGACAAGGTACCGGGAGTGCATGCCACGAAGGCGCTGCACTGACGGGTGACCAAGGCGGTGGTGCCAGAGGACGGTCTGGTGCGACAGGGAGCGACATGGGCAGGGGGCCGACAGCTGACCTGACGCAGACGCAGACGCAGCTACCTGAGGGGACTCAGTGGTCAGTGTGTACAGGTCCGACCCCGGCTGCCGAGTGAAGGTAGCCAGGTGGCGACCCGTCCGAGCACACATGCAGTGGGTCACACGCTCATGGGCAGGGGTGAACTGGTGAACACCCCCATCCTGGAGAGCAGAGCCCGCCACCAAGTTCGTAGAGAATGAGGGGAGGTAAAGACCCGACAGGGTGCCGGACGGGACCGCAGGACAAGGGAGGACAGTGGAGGAGGTCGCAAGGACCGGGCCCCCGGAGGGGTCAGCCAGGGAGACAGCAACAGGCCGAGCTAGCTGCTCAAGGACAATGCGGTCACGAAAGAAGCAGCGGGAAGCACCCGAGTCCAGTGTGAAGGTGTGCAGTGCCTCAGTAGACGCAGTACCAGCAGGCGCAGACGCACGAGCACCTGGAGCAGCAGACTCACTAGCACCTAGAGCAGCAGCCTCACCAGGACCTAGGGCAGTAGACGCACTAGCACCTAGAGCTGCAGCCTCACTGGTCCCAATACCCGGGTCAGGCGGTACACGCAGGTAACAGTCACCCTCAACACTAACAGTCAATGCATACATGGCACCAAGGATAGCATCAAAATCAAGAGCAAAGATATCAATGTTCTTTTCATCAGATCAGCCCAGCGGGGCAGCTCAGTGGCGTCAGGAAACTGCGCGCGCCAGGCGTCGTCGAGACGAAAGAAGCAGCGCTGTGCCGTGTGGAACCTCCCACAGGTCTGGCCAGTGCGGTCACCTGTGCGGATAACGTACGGGCAGGTACCTCCACCCCCAGACCCCCCACGCTGAGAGTACCACTCACGAAGCTGCTGGGGCGACGGGGTCTCGCTGGGACGCTGCTGCTGCTGCCTCTGGCCACCACCGAACCCCCCGCGCTGCACCGCTCCACCGCGCCCGCCACTAGCTCCACTGCCGCCACCACTACCACCACCACCCCCGCCACCCCCACTACCGCCGCCGCCACCACCCCCGCCTCCGCCACTGACCCCCCCACCACTAGAACCACTCCCACCACCGCCACCACCCCCGCCCCCTCCACCCCCTACACTACCGCCGCCCCCGCCGCCACCTCCGCCTCCCTTGCCCCCCTTGCCCTTGCCGCCCTTGCGCCTCTCACTAGGAGCAGACGCAGCCCCGACCTCCTCAGCACCGAGGTAGTCGGCAGCAGCAGCAGATGCAATGGAGGGGAGAAGGGGGGAGGGGGAACATCCCTCAAAGAAGGGAGTGCGAGGGTCGCCACGAGAGGCACCTACAGCTACAATGCTAGTCTCAGCTGCAAGGAGTTCCTTCTCGAGCAGGTCGACAATGAGGTCAGTGGGGGAGAGGGCGAGAAAGTGGTCCCTGACAGCGCGAAGAGAGTCAGGGAGGCGAGTGACTAGGTGGTAGAGTGTGAGGTACATCGGGGGAGGGTTCTTGGCGAGGAAATCGGGAGGAAGCGCGGCACGGTAGCGGAGATCACTAGTACGGAGGTGAGTGATGAGGTCAGCTACAGTGGCAAAGGCGAACAGATCGGGGAAGAGGTAGGGCAGCGAGAGACGGCCCATCGCAGCAGTAGCAGGGGAGGAGTAGCGCGCAACTACAGCATCGTACAGCTCCTTAGCGGTCTTATGCTGGCCAAAATGCTCGCGCTCATCTAACGGCAGGTGGCTGCGAATGGCTAGGCGAGCGTGAGCGTCACGGGTCTGCCACTGTGAGCGAGCCGTACTGTCAGCAGTAGCAGCAGGTGCGGGAGCGGCGCCGGACGTGTGGTCAAACAGGGAAACATCATCCTTGGCAGTGATCTGGAGGAACAGGTGCAGGTCATCGAGCCAGACGTCAAACTTAATCGGACGGCCCTCAGCGTCAAAAGTGAGAACGGAAGGACTGGCCATAGTGGCAGTAGCAGCAGTAGGAACAGTAGCAGCAGTAACAGTAGTAGCAGTAGCAGTAACAGGAGCAGCAGTTGCTGCAGGTGGTGCACAGTAGTGCAGCGCGGCTCGGTCAGGGCGGCGCGACTCGGGCAGGACGGCGCGACTCGGGCAGGACGGCGCGGCGCGACTCGGGCAGGGTGGGCCGGCGCGCGGTCTGCGACTGTGCGAGGCGGCGGCCTACGTGCGGGCGGCGGCCTACACGAGTGCGGCGGCCTACGTGCGGGCGGCAGCCTACGTGCGGGCGGCGGCCTACGAGTGTGAGGCGGCGGCGCGCGCCGGTCGACGGGCAGCTCGCGGGCTGTGCTAGGGGCCGCGCGAGGCCAGGGCGGGCTGCGCGCGGGCGGCGTCGACTGCGCGGGCGGCTAGCGGGTCGCGCGCACGAGAAACAGGCCGCGCGCGGCCGGCTAGCAGGCTACGCGCGCGAAAAACGGGCCGCGCGCGGGTGGCTAGCGGGCTACGCGCACGAAAAACGGGGCGCGCGAGGGCGCACTAGGAAAGAGGCGCACGAGGGCGCGAGGAAGGTAGGGCGCACGAGGGCGCTTCTAGCGGAACGGTGGGGCCTTAGGAACAAGCGGTCCTAGGTTCCTAACCTAGGCTCGTAATACCATGTCAGAATGAGAGAGGAGTGATGAACTAACAACATTGGGAGTACAAGTAGGAAAACCTAGAATGTTGTACCCCCTAAGGCTAAACCCACTATAGCCTACAGAATAGAAACATATACAATGTTTGACAGGGAGAAGGGTGATGCGAGTAGGGAGATGGGTGATGAGAGTAGAGAGAAGGGTGATGAGAGTAGGGAGAAGGGTGATGAGAGTAGGGAGAAGGGTGATGAGAGTAGGGAGAAGGGTGATGAGAGTAGGGAGAAGGGTGATGAGAGTAGGGAGAAAGGTGATGAGAGTAGGGAGAAGGGTGATGAGAGTACGGAGAAGGGTGATGAGAGTAGGGTGAAGGGTGATGAGAGTAGTGAGAAGGGAGAAGGGTGATGAGAGTAGGGAGAAGGGTGATGAGAGTAGGGAGAAGGGAGATGAGCCTGCTGACAAATGCTAAGGAAGCTCATGGATCCCTATAGGAGTAGGGAGAAGCATCCAACGACCCAAATATTGTTGCATATTCGGGTGGCCCATGTTCAAATACACCTACCAGAGCAACTTCAGCTCGGTTCGCGCGCACAAAAAAGTTCGGCGCCCGCGATGACGGCCGTGTCTGCCCACAAATGCTAAGGAAGCGCATGGATCCCTATAGGCGTATGGAAAAGCATCGAACGACCCGATTGTTGTTGCATATTCAGGTGGCCCATGTTCAAATATAACTACCAGAGCAACTTCAGCTTGTTTCGCGCGCACAGAAAAGTTCGGCGCCCGCGATGACGGCCGTGCCTGCCCACAAATGCTAAGGAAGCGCATGGATCCCTATAGGCGTAGGGAAAAGCATCCAACAACCCAAATATTGTTGCATATTCGGGTAGCCCATGTTCAAATACACCTATCAGAGCAACTTCAGATTTGTTCGCGCGCACAGAAATGTTCGGCGCCCGCGATGACGGCCGTGCCGGCCGACAAATGCTAAAGAAGCGCATGGATCCCTATAGGCGTAGGGAAAAGCATCCAACGACCCGAATATTGTTGCATATTCGGGTGGCTCACGTTCAAATACACTTTCCAGAGCAACTTCAGCTTGGTTCGCGCGCCCGCGATGACGGCCGTGCCTGTCAACAAATGCTAAGGAAGCGCATGGATCCCTATAGGCGTAGGGAAAAGCATCCAACGACGCAAATATTGTTGCATATTCGAGTGGCCCATGTTCAAATACACCTACCAGAGCAACTTCAGCTTGGTTCGTGCGCACAGAAAAGTTCGGTGCCTGTGATGACGGCCGTGCCTGCCCACAAATGCTAAGGAAAGGAATCGCAAGGGTGGTGAGAGTAGGGAGAAGGGTGATGAGAGAAGGGAGATGGGAGATGAGAGTAGGGAGAAGGGTGGTGAGAGTAGGGAGAAGGGGGATGAGAGTAGGGTGAAGGGTGATGAGAGTAGGGAGAAGGGTGATGAGAGTAGGGAGAAAGGTGATGAGAGTAGGGAGAAGGGAGATGAGAGTACGGAGAAGGGTGATGAGAGTAGGGCGAAGGGTGATGAGAGTAGTGAGAAGGGAGAAGGGTGATAAGAGTAGGGAGAAGGGTGATGAGAGTAGGGAGAAGGGAGATGAGCCTGCCGACAAATGCTAAGGAAGCGCATGGATCCCTATAGGCGTAGGGGAAAGCATCCAACGACCCGAATATTGTTGCATATTCGGGTGGCGCATGTTCAAATACACCTATCAGAGCAACTTCAGATTGGTTCGCGCGAACAGAAAAGTTCGGCGCCCGCAATGACGGGCGTGTCTGCCCACAAATGCTAAGGAAGCACATGTATCCCTATAGGCGTAGGGAAAAGCATCCAACGACCCGAATATTGTTGCATTTTCGGGTGGCCCATGTTCAAATACATCTATCAGAGCAACTTCAGATTGGTTCGCGCGCACAGAAAAGTTCGGCGCCCGCGATGACGGCCGTGCCTGCCCACAAATGCTAAGGAAAGGAAGCGCATGGCTGATGAGAGTAGGGAGAAGGGTGATGAGAGAAGGGAGAAGGGAGAAGGGAGAAGGGAGAAGGGAGATGAGAGTAGGGAGAAGGGTGGTGAGAGTAGGGAGAAGGGTGATGAGAGTAGGGTGAAGGGTGATGAGAGTAGGGAGAAGGGTGATGAGAGTAGGAAGAAGGGTGATGAGAGTAGGGAGAAGGGAGATGAGAGTGGGGAGAAGGGTGATGAGAGTAAGGAGAAGGGTGATGAGAGTAGAGAGAAGGGTGATGAGAGTAGGGAGAAGGGTGAAGAGAGTAGGGAGAAGGGTGATGAGAGTAGGGAGAAGGGTGATGAGGGTGGGGAGAAGGGTGATGAGAGTAGGGAGAAGGGTGATAAAAGTAGGGAGAAGGGAGATGAGAGTAGGGAGAAGGGTGATGAGAGTAGGGAGAAGGGTGATGAGAGTAGGGAGAAGGGTGATGAGAGTAGGAAGAAGGGAGATGAGAGTAGGGAGAAGGGAGATGAGAGTAGGGAGAAAGGTGATGAGAGTAGGGAGAAGGGAGAAGGGTGATGAGAGTAGGGAGAAGGGTGATGAGAGTAGGGAGAAGGGAGCCGTGCCGGCCGACAAATGCTAAGGAAGCGCATGGATCCCTATAGGCGTAGGGAAAAGCATCCAACGACCCAAATATTGTTGCATATTCAAGTGGCCCATGTTCAAATACATATACCAGAGCAACTTCAGCTTGGTTCGCGCGCACAGAAAAGTTTGGCGCCCGCGATGACGGCCGTGTCTGCCCACAAATGCTAAGGAAGCGCATGGATCCCTATAGGCGTAGGGAAAAGCATCGAATGACCCGATTTTTGTTGCATATTCAGGTGGCCCATGTTCAAATACACCTACCAGAGCAACTTCAGCTTGGTTCGCGCGCACAGAAAAGTTCGGCGCCCGCGATGACGGCCGTGCCGGCCGACAAATGCTAAGGAAGCGCATGGATCTCTTTAGGCGTAGGGAAAAGCATCCAACGACCCAAAGATTGTTGCATATTCGGGTGGCTCATGTTCAAATACACCTTCCAGAGCAACTTCAGCTTGGTTCGCGCGCACAGAAAAGTTCGGCGCCCACGATGACGGCCGTGCCTGCCGACAAATGCTAAGGAAGCGCATGGATCCCTATAGGCGTAGGGAAAAGCATCCAACAACCCAAATATTGTTGCATATTCGGGTGGCCCATGTTCAAATACACATACCAGAGCAACTTCAGCTTGGTTCGCGCGCACAAAAAAGTTCGGCGCCCGCGATGACGGCCGTGCCTGCCCACAAATGCTAAGGAAAGGAAGCGCATGGGTGATGAGAGTAGGGAGAAGGGTGATGAGAGAAGGGAGAAGGGAGATGAGAGTAAAGAGAAGGGTGATGAGAGTAGGGAGAAGGGTGGTGAGAGTAGGGAGAAGGGTGATGAGAGTAGGGAGAAGGGTGATGAGAGTAAGGAGAAGTATGATGAGAGTAGGGAGAAGGGAGATGAGAGTAGGAAGAAGGGTGATGAGAGTAGGGAGAAGGGTGATGAGAGTAGAGAGAAGGATAATGGAGTAGGGAGAAGGGTGAGGAGAGTAGGGAGAAGGGTGATGAGAGTAGGGAGAAGGGTGATGAGAGTAGGAAGAAGGGTGATGAGAGTAGGGAGAAGGGTGATGAGAGTAGGGAGAAGGAAGATGAGAGTAGGGAGAAGGGAGATGAGAGTAGGGAGAAATGTGATGAGAGTAGGGAGAAGGGTGATGAGAGTAGGCAGAAGGGAGATGAGAGTAGGGAGAAGGGAGATGAGAGTAGGGAGAAAGGTGATGAGAGTAGAGAGAAGGGAGAAGGGTGATGAGAGTAGGGAGAAGGGTGATGAGTGTAGGGAGAAGGGAGATGAGCCTGCCGACAAATGCTAAGGAAGCGCATCGATCCCTATAGGCGTAGGGAAAAGCATCCAACGACCCAAATATTGTTGCATATTCGGGTGGCCCATGTTCAAATACACCTACCAGAGCAACTTCAGCTTGGTTCGAGTGCACAGAAAATTTCGGCGCCCGCGATGACGGCCGTGTCTGCCCACAAATGCTAAGGAAGCGCATGGATCCTTATATGCGTAGGGAAAAGCATCGAACGACCCGATTGTCGTTGCATATTCGGGTGGCCCATGTTCAAATACACCTACCAGAGCAACTTCAGCTTGGGTCGCGCGCACACTTAAGTTCGGCGCCCGCGATGACGGCCGTGCCTGCCGACAAATGCTAAGGAAACGCATGGATCCTTATAGGCGTAGGGAAAAGCATCCAACGACCCGAATATTGTTGCATATTCGGGTGGCCCATGTTCAAAAACACCTATCAGAGCAACTTCAGATTGGTTCGCGCGCACAGAAAAGTTCGGCGCCCGCGATGACGGCCGTGCCGGCCGACAAATGCTAAGGAAGCGCATGGATCCCTATAGGCGTAGGGAAAAGCATCCAACGACCCGAATATTGTTGCATATTCGGGTGGCCCATGTTCAAATACACCTATCAGAGCAACTTCAGATTGGTTCGCGCGCACAGAAAAGTTCGGCGCCCACGATGACGGCCGTGCCGGCCGACAAATGCTAAGGAAGCCATGGATCCCTATAGGCGTAAGGAAAAGCATCCAACGACCCAAATACTGTTGCATATTCGGGTGGCTCATGTTCAAATACACCTTCTAGAGCAACTTCAGCTTGGTTCGCGCACACAAAAAAGTTCGGCGCCCGCGATGACGGCCGTGCCTGGCGACAAATGCTAAGGAAGCGCATGGATCCCTATAGGCGTAGGGAAAAGCATCCAACGACCCAAATATTGTTGCATATTCGGGTGGCCCATGTTCAAATACACCTACCAGAGCAACTTCAGCTTGGTTCGCGCGCACAGAAAAGTTCGGCGCCCGTGATGACGGCCATGCCTGCCCATAAATGCTAAGCAAAGGAAGCGTATGGGTGATGAGAGTAGGGAGACGGGTGATGAGAGAAGAGAGAAGGGAGAGGAGAGTAGGGAGAAGGGTGATGAGAGTAGGGAGAAGGGTGATGAGAGTAGGGAGAAGGGTGATGAGAGTAGGGAGAAGGGTGATGAGAGTAGGGAGAAGGGTGATGAGAGTAGGGAGAAGGGTGATGAGAGTAGGGAGAAGGGTGATGAGAGTAGGGAGAAGGGTGACGAGAGTAGGGAGTAGGGTGATGGGAGTAGGGAGAAGGGTGATGAGAGTAGGGAGAAGGGAGATGAGAGTAGGGAGAAGGGAGATGAGAGTAGGGAGAAAGGTGATGAGAGTAAGAAGAAGGGAGATGAGCATGCCAACAAAATCTAAGGAAGCGCATGGATCCCTATAGGCACAGGGAAAAGCATCCAACTAGGAACATTGAGAGTACAAATAGGAAACCCTAGAGTATTGTACCCCCTAAAGGCTAACCCACTGTAGCCTACACAGCAGTAACATATATAATGTTTGACACACCCCCATAGGCGAAGTGGGGGAGAGCAAGGGGTCACAAAACCAGTCAAAGCAAAGCAAAGCAAAACAAGCTCAGGGTGGATCTCAAGGATACCACACAAATTCCGAGCACAAGCAAGCGGTCACAAGACCAGTTCACATGCAGTTTGATAATATAACAAGAGGTACAGTGATCACAACCCAGCAAGTGTAAGCATGCAGGTTTATATATAGAGATCACAGTACAAGCAGAGTCAAGAAGTGAGCAAGTGAGGGACAGTAGGCACAAGGCCTAGAACAGTACAGAAATGCTGATGATCACAAGGCTGAAGCGCCTTGGTGAACACATCAGCAGTGTTGGCCCGAGTGGCCACGTATGCAAGACGAAGCTGACCACGCTGCTGCAACTCTCGAGCAAGGAAGTAGCGCAGAGCGATGTGCTTCGTTCTGTGCTCCAGTCTGTGCTCCTGACACAAGGCAATGGCGGCCTTGTTGTCGACGTACAGCACTGGAGGAGAACGAGGCCGCTCTCCCAGGTCGGTCAGCAGGTAGGTGAGCCAGCGTAACTCCTGTGCAGCCATGGCTGTGGCGTAGATCTCAGCCTCACAACTGGAGCTGAGAACTGAAGACGAGCGTGTAGAACGCCAAGAAACTGAACCAGAGCCAAGGCTGAAGGTGTAACCCTGAGACGACCGCTGCGTAGCCTGGTCGTCAGCCCAAGAAGCGTCTGAGTGCCCAGTGAGGACAACGTCGCTCCATCCTCCAAGCACAAGCCCCATGCCCGACGTACTGCACAAGTAGCGCAACACCCTCTTAGCGGCATCCATGTGCTCCTTCCGGTGACGGCCAGGAGCGACATATCGTGTTAGGATGCTAAGAGGGTATGCAAGGTCAGGTCGAGTGCAGGTCATCAGGTACATGAGGCAGCCCACAAGCTCTGGATACGGGCCACTCGGCTCTACGGACTCATCCGAAGGCACAGCTGAGAGCGAGTGACCGGTAGGCAGAGGAGTGGGCTGAGGCGAGGAGTACGTGAAGCGGAAGCGCTGAAGGACCTGCTGCACCATGTGTGACTGAGTCAAGGTGATGGTGCGCTGTGCTCTGTCCCGGGTGATCCGCAAGCCAAGATAGCTTGTCAGCTCACCCAGGTCTGTGCACGTGTGTCTCTTCTGCAGCTCCGACTTCACGTGGGCGAGTGCCTCAGTGTCAGCAGTAGCAAAGACCAAGTCGTCTACGTACACGAGAACGTAGAACGGCGGCAGAGTGGTGTCGGTGCGTAGAAACAGCGACGGGTCAGCAGTAGAAGGAGCAAACCCAAGAGCAGCAAGAGTAGTCCTCAGTGTGTCGTGCCACTCGCGGGGTGCCTGGCGGAGACCGTAGACTGGCCGGCGGAGGCTCCACTGGGTACCAGCAGGGAACGACCCAGTGAAGCCAGGTGGGCGGCGCAGCCAGATCTCCTCGTGCCGGCTGCCCTGTAGGAAAGCAGTGCTGAAGTCAAGAGAGTGGAGCTCGTAGTCACGCTGAGCAGCGACGTGCAGCAGAACCCGAAGAGTGGTCATCTTCGGGGTCGGGGAGAAGGTCTAGAAGAAGTCAACTCCCTCTCGCTGACTGAAGCCTCGTGCAACGTAACGCGCCTTGAAGACAGGCGGAGAACCCGGCGGCCGCTTCACCCTGAAAATCTACATGCCACTGACGATGTTCGCCCCAGGTGGGGGAACGTCGTCGACGTAGGTGCCTGTGGACTTCCAGGAAGCCATCTCTGCGTCCATGGCTGTCTGCCACTGAGAGGAGTAGGGACCCTCTATCGCCTCTGCGTAAGAGCGCGGGGTCGGGATGTCTGGTGCATCCGAGTCTCCCTCAGGGGCAATCAGCATGGACACGAGATGAGGTAAAGCAGCGGCAAAGCACTCAAACTCCTCCTGTCTGTCCTCAAGGACGTCCGTGCCAAGAGCACACTCACCCCCGACGGACGGAGGACAGACAGACTCAGACTCAGCAACAAGGCTAGCGGCGTAGTCTAGACGACAGGCGGCAGCAAAGTCAACAAGCTCAGCAACTAGAGGAGATGCAGCAGTGGACTCAAAGGAAGGGTCAGTGACAACAGTAGCGAGAAGACGCGTGAGAGTAGGACTGGCAGCACGAGCAAGGTCTGACGGCGGGTCAGCAACGTCAGGAAGAGAGGACGCAGGAGGAGACGGCAGATGGACACGCTGAGGAGCAGTGGAAGGACGCAGAGTCATATAGTGTGTGCCAAGGACAGGAGGAGGACGCTCACGCGGAGCACGACGACCAGTGCGGACAGCGCGAACTGACGACTCTGGACGAGACTCAGACAACTCAGGACGAGACTCAGGCGACGCAGGACGAGACTCAGGCTCACGACGCTCCGTAAGACCTCTAGTCGGCCCAGCGTAAGGAGAAGGACCAGGCAGTGGAGAGGCAAGCGGTAACTGTGACTACGACTGGACAGGTGGTGGACTCAGTAGGGGAGGAGAAGGACCAGTGGTGGGCGGGAGGCCAAGAACCTGCTGAAGGAGCGGAACGTAGTACGGTCGCGGCCGCTCAGCACCTCCTGAACCAGCAGAGACAGCACCAGCACCCTCAGCCCCAGGGTCTCCAGCGACAACTCCCGCAGCACCACCAGTAACCCCAGCAGCTCCAGTACCTCCAGCTCCAACCCCCGCAGCAGCTCCAGTCCCAGCAGCTCTAGTACCTCCAGTACGAGCACCTCCAGAACCAGCGGCTCCAGCAGCTCCAGCACCAGCAGCAGCTCCAACTCCAGGGTCCTCAGCACCAGCAGCAGCTCCAACTCCAGGGTCCGCGGCACCAGCAGCAGCTCCAGCTCCAGGGTCCAAAGCACCAGCAGCGCCACTCCGGAGACTGCAGCGCCGAGCGTACCACTCTCGGAGCCGCTGGGGAGAGGGCGGCTCCTGCCTAGGTGGGGAACCACTAGCACCAGCTCCAGCAGCACCCCTAGCCCCAGAAGCGCCCCTCCTGAGGCTGCAGTACCGCGAGTACCACTCACGCAGCTGCTGTGAAGAGGGAGCGCCTCCAGGCGCCGTACGGTCAGTCACAGCACCCCCAGGCTCAGTACCCTTAGACGTAGCACTCTCAGGCTCAACACCCCCAGGCTCCGCACCCCCAGGCTCAGCACCCCCAGGCTCCGCACGCTCAGGCTCAGCACCCCTAGCAGGACGAGAGTCGACAGCTACCTCGACAGGCTCAACCGGGTCTACCTGGGACACACCTGAGGGAGCGGCACCCTGAGGGGGGAGGGGGTCTACCACAGCAGCACCTGGTGCGAGGAAGAGAGGCGGGGGGGGGAGCGGGGCAGTGCGGTAGGGGAAGAGGCGGTAGTAGGGGACCGACTCGTCAAAAGTGACATCTTGAGAGGGCAGGATACGGCGCGAGGTGGCGTGGTAAAACTGCCAACCAGACGCGTCCGGGACAAAGCCAAGGAAGACACAAGGAACAGCATGGGAGGAGAGCTTGTCCGCGGACGCATCGCGGACAAAAGCACGAGATCCCCAGACCCAGAACACTGACGCATCGCCAACCTCTCCCGTCCAACGCAGTGTCGGCGAAGTCTCCGGAACGGAGACATGGGGCGTATCGGACCGCAAACGGCCACAGAAAGTGGGGGGCAGCCGCATGGATCAAGGAGGTACGAGCGACCTCCATGACCAAGTCAATGCGGCGCTCAGCAACCCCATTCTGCTGTGGAGAGGCCGGAAGCGTGAACGACTGCTCAATGCCCTCCCCACGACAAAAGTCCCTCAAGAGGTCAGAGGAAAATTCCCCACCTCTGTCAGAGTGCAGACGCAGTACAGGAAGGTCTGAGTGGAACCTCTCGCTGAGCTAGAGACGGGTAGCGCGGATCCAAGGGATCAAAACATCAGGGACTTCACCCTTGGTGCGCAAGGGGAAGACCGTGGTGTAGCGTGAGTAGTCGTCAACAACTATCAAGAAGTACCTCTCGTGACCCTGTCCACGGACGCGGGCTGGGCCCCACACGTCCATGTGGAGGGTCTGCAGGGGAGCAGTCGTCGGGGGAAACGAGGAGGAGTGAGGAGCGGCGCGCTGCCGCCCTCGACACAGGGAAGACAGGGAGGAGCAGGCGAGGGTGGGAGGGGAGGGAGAACCCTGGGAAGACCAGAGACAAGGTACCGGGAGTGCATGCCACGAAGGCGCTGCACTGACGAGTGACCAAGGCGGTGGTGCCAGAGGACGGTCTCGTGCGACAGGGAGCGACACGAGCAGGGGGCCAACAGCTGACCTAACGCAGACGCAGACGCAGCTACCTGGGGGGACTCAGTGGTCAGTGTGTACAGGTCCGACCCCGGCTGCCGAGTGAAGGTAGCCAGGTGGCGACCCGTCCGAGCACACGTGCAGTATGTCACGCGCTCGAAGGCAGGGGTGAACTGGTCGACAACCCCGTCCTGGAGCGCACGACCCGCCACCAAGTTCGTAGAGAAAGAGGGGAGGTAGGCCTGACAGTGTGCCCGACGGGACCGCAGGACAAGGAAGGACAGTGGAGGAGGTCGCAATGACCGGACCCCCAGAGGGGTCAGCAAGGGAGACTGCAACTGGCCGAGCAAGCTGCTCAAGGGCAGTGCGGTCACGAAAGAAACAGCGAGAAGCACCCGAGTCCAGTGTGAAGGTGTGTAGTGCCTCAGTAGACGCAGTACCAGCAGGCGCAGACGCACGAGCACCTAGAGCAGCAGACTCACTAGCACCTAGAGCAGCAGCCTGACCAGTACCAAGGGCAGCAGACGCACTAGCACCTAGAGCAGCAGCCTGACCAGTACCAAGGGCAGCAGACGCACTAGCACTTAGAGCGGCAGCCTCACTGGTCCCAATACCCGGGTCTAGCGGTACACGCAGGTAAGAGTCACCCTCAACACTAATAGTCAATGCATACATGGCCCCAAGGATAGCATCAAAGTCAAGAGCAAAGATATCAATGTTCTTTTTCATCAGATCAGCCCAGCGGGGCAGCTCAGTGGCGTCACGAAACTGTGCACGCCAGGCGTCGTCGAGAAGAAAGAAGCAGCGGTGTGCCGTGTGGAACCTCCCACAGGTCTGGCCAGTGCGGTCACCTGTGCGGATAAGGTACGGGCAAGTACCTCCACCCCCAGACCCCCCACGCTGAGAGTACCACTCACGGAGCTGCTGGGGGGACGGGGTCTCGCTGGGACGCTGCTGCTGCTGCCTCTGGCCACCACCGACCCCTCCACGCTGCACCGCTCCACCGCGCCCGCCACCAGCTCCATCGCCGCCACCACTACCACCACCACCCCCGCCACCCCCACTACCGCCGCCGCCACCACCCCCGCCTCCACCACTGCCCCCCCCGCCACCAGCACCACTCCCACCACCACCACCACCCCCTCCTCCTCCACCCCCTCCACTACCGCCGCCCCCGCCTCCACCTCCGCCACCCTTGCCCCCCTTGCCCTTGCCGCCCTTGCGCCTCCAACTAGGAGCAGACGCAGCCCCGACCTTCTCAGCACCGAGGTAGTCGACAGCAGCAGCAGATGCAATGGAGGGGAGAAGGGGGACGGGGGAACACCCCTCAAAGAAGGGAGTGCGAGGGTCGCCACGAGAGGCACCTACAGCTACAATACTCTTCTCAGCTGCAAGGAGCTCCTTCTCGAGCAGGTCGACAGTGAGGTCAGTGGGAGAGAGGGCGAGAAAGTGGTCCCTGACAGCGCGAAGAGAGTCAGGGAGGCGAGTGACTAGGTGGTAGAGTGTGAGGTACATCGGGGGAGGGTTCTTGGCGAGGAAATCAGGAGGAAGCGCGGCACGGTAGCGGAGATCACTAGTACGGAGGTGAGTGATAAGGTCAGCTACAGTGGCAAAGGCGGACAGATCGGGGAAGAGATAGGGCAGTGAGAGACGGCCTATCGCAGCAGTAGCAGGGGAGGAGTAGCGCGCAACTACAGCATCGTACAGCTCCTTAGCGGTTTTATGCTGGCCAAAGTGCTCGCGCTCATCTAACGGCAGGTGGCTGCGAACGGCTAGGCGACCGTGAGCGTCACGGGTCTGCCACTGTGAGCGAGCTGTACTGTCAGCGGTAGCAGCAGGTGCGAGAGCTACGCCGGACGTGTGGTCAAAGAGGGAAACATCGTCCTTGGCAGTGATCTGGAGGAACAGGTGCAGGTCATCGAGCCAAACGTCAAACTTAATCGGACGGCCCTCAGAGTCAAAAGTGAGAACGGTAGGACTGGCCATAGTGACAGTAGCAGCAGTAGCAGTAGCAACAGTAGCAGTAGCAGTAGGAGCAGTAGTAGCAACAGAACAGCAGGTACTGCAGGTGGGGCACAGTAGGGCGGTGCGGCTCGGGCGGCGCGGCTCGGTTCGGGCGGCGCGGCTCGGTTCGGGCGGCGCGGCTCGGGCGGGGCGGCGCGGCGCGGCTCGGACTGGGCTACGCGGCACGGCGCGATGGTGGGCCTGCGCGTGGGCGGCTGTAGCGGTCGGGCCGCGGCTGTGCGTGGGCTGCAGTCGCGCGCGGGCGGCGGCCTACAAGGGCGACGCGGCGGCCTACGGGCGGGGCTGCGACGCTCTGGACGGCCAGGAGGGCCGGTCGATGGGCGGCTAGTGGGCTGCTCGTGGGCGGCGCTGGTCGTGCGGGCGGCTAACGGTCGGCGCGCGCGCAGAAAAAGCCGCGCGCGGGCTGCTAGCGGGTTACGCGCGCTAAAAAAAAAGGCCGCGCACGGCACTAGCGAGCTGCACACGGGCAGCATGAGAAGGAGAGGCGCACGAGGGCGCACTAGTATAGAGGCGCTCGAGGGCGCTTCTAGCAGAACGGTGGGCCCTTAGGTAAGTGGTCCTAGGTTCCTAACCTAGGCTCGTAATACCATGTCAGAAATGAGAAGTGGTTGAACTAGGAACATTGAGAGTACAAATAGGAAACCCTAGAGTATTGTACCCCCTAAAGGCTAACCCACTGTAGCCTACACAGCAGTAACATATATAATGTTTGACACAACGACCCAAATATTGTTGCATATTTGGGTGGCCCATGTTCAAACACTCCTACCCGAGCAACTTTAGCTTGGTTCGCGCGCACAGAAAAAAATCGGCGCCCGCGATGACGGCCGTGTCTGCCCACAAATGCTAAGGAAGCGCATGGATCCCTATAGGCGTAGGGAAAGCATCGAACGACCCGTTTATTGTTGCATATTCAGGTGGCCCATGTTCAAATACACCTACCAAAGCAGCTTCAGCTTGGTTCGCGCGCACAGAGAAGTTCGGCGCCTGCGTTGACGGCCGTGCCGGCCGACAAATGCTAAGGAAGCACATGGATCCCTATAGGCGTAGGGAAAAGCATCCAGCGACCCAAATATTGTTGCATATTCGGGTGGCCCATGTTCAAATACACATATCAAGGCAAATTCAAATGGGTTCTCAAGCACAGAAAAATTCGGCGCCTGCGATGACGGCCGTGCCGGCTGGCAAATGCTAAGGAAGCGTATGAATCCCTATAGGCGTAGGGAAAAGCATCCAACGACCCGAATATTGTTGCATATTCGGGTGGCTCATGTTCAAATATACCTTCCTGAGCAACTTCAGCTTGGTTCGCACGCACAGAAAAGTTCGGCGCCCGCGATGACGGCCGTGCCTGTCGACAAATGCTAAGGAAGCGCATGGATCCCTATAGGTGTAGGGAAAAGCATTCAACGACCCTAATATTGTTGCATATTCGGGTGGCCCATGTTCAAATACACCTACCAGAGCAACTTCAGCTTGGTTCGCGCGCACAGGAAAGTTCGGCGCCCGCGATGATGGCCGTGCCTGCCCACAAATGCTACGGAACGGAAGCGCATGGGTGATGAGAGTAGGGAGAAGGGTGATGAGAGAAGGGAGAAGGGAGATGAGAGTAGGGAGAAGGGTGATGAGAGTAGGGAGAAGGGTGATGAGAGTAGGGAGAAGGGTGATGAGAGTAGGGAGAAGGGTGATGAGAGTAGGGAGAAGGGTGATGAGAGTAGGGAGAAGGGAGATGAGCCTGCCGATAAATGCTAAGGAAGCGCATGGATTCCTATAGGCGTAGGGAAAAGCATCCAACGACCCAAATATTGTTGCATATTCGGGTGGCCTATGTTCAAATACACCTACCCGAGCAACTTCAGCTTGGTTCGCGCGCACAAAAAAGTTCGGCGCCCGCGATGACGGTCGTGTCTGCCCACAAATGCTAATGAAGCGTATGGATCCCTATAGGCGTAGGGAAAAGCATCCAACGACCCGAATATTGTTGCATATTCGGGTGGCCCATGTTCAAATACACCTATCAGAGCAACTTCAGATTGGCTCGCGTGCACAGAAAAGTTCGGCGCCCGCGATGACGGCCGTGCCGGCCGAAAAATGCTAAGGAAACGCATGGATCCCTAAAGGCGTACGGAAAAACATCCAACGACCCGAATATTGTTGCATATTCGGGTGGCTCATGTTCAAATACACCTTCCAGAGCAACTTCAGCTTGGTTCGCGCGCACAGAAAAGTTCGGCGCCCGCGATGATGGCCGTGCCTGCCGACAAATGCTAAGGAAGCGCATGGATCCCTATATGCGTAGGGAAAAGCATCTTACGACCCAAATATTGTTGCATATTCGGGTGGCCCATGTTCAAATGCACCTACCAGAGCAACTTCAGCTTGGTTCGCGCGCACTGAAAAGTTCGGCGCCCACGATGACGGCCGTGCCTGCCCATAAATGCTAAGGAAAGGAAGCGCATGGGTGATGAGAGTAGGGAGAAGGGTGATGAGAGTAGGGAGAAGGGAGATGAGAGTAGGGAGAAGGGTGATGAGAGTAGGGAGAAGGGTGATGAGAGTAGGGAGAAGGGTGATGAGAGTAGGGAGAAGGGTGATGAGAGTAGGGAGAAGGGAGATGAGAGTAGGGAGAAGGGAGATTAGAGTAGGGAGAAAGATGATGAAAGTAGGGAGAAGGGAGAAGGGTGATGATAGTAGGGAGAAGGGTGATGAGAGTAGGGAGAAGGGAGATGTGCCTGCCGACAAATTCTAAGGAAGCGCATGGATCCCTATAGGCGTAGGGAAAAGCATCCAACGATCCAAATATTGTTGCATATTCGGGTAGCCCATGTTCAAATACACCCACCAGAGCAACTTCAGCTTGGTTCTCGCGCACAGAAAAGTTCGGCACCCGCGATGACGGCCGTGTCTGCCGACAAATGCTAAGGAAGTGCATGGATCCCTATAGGCGTAGGGAAAAGCATCCAACGACCCGAATATTGATGCATATTCGGGTGGCCCATGTTCAAATACACCTTCCAGAGCAACTTCAGCTTGGTTCGCGCCTACAGAAAAGTTCGGCGCCCGCGATGACGGCTTGCCTGCCGACAAATGCTAAGGAAGCACATGGATCCCTATAGGCGTAGGGAAAAGCATCCAACGACCCAAATATTGTTGCATATTCGAGTGCCACATGTTCAAATACACCTACCATAGCAACTTCAGCTTGGTTCGCGCGCACAGAAAAGTTCGGCGCCTGCGATGACGGCCGTGTCTTCCCACAAATGCTAAGGAAGCGCATGGATCCCTATACGCGTAGGGAAAAGCATCGAACGACCCAATTATTGTTACATATTCAGGTGGCCCGTGTTCAAATACACCTACCAGAGCAACTTCAGCTTGGTTCGCGCGAACAGAAAAGTTCGGCGCCCGCGATGACGGCCGTGCCTGCCCACAAATGCTAAGGAAGAGCATGGATCCCTATAGGCATAGGGAAAAGCATCCAACGACCCGAATATTGTTGCATATTCGGGTGGCTCATGTTCAAATACACCTTCCAGAGCAACTTCAGCTTGGTTCGCGCATACAGAAAAGTTCGGCGCCCGCGATGACGGCCGTGCCTGCCGAGAAATGCTAAAGAAGCGCATGGATCCCTATAGGCGTAGGGAAAAGCATCCAACGACCCAAATATTGTTGCATATTCGGGTGGCTCATGTTCAAATACACCTACCAGAGCAACTTCAGCTTGGTTCACGCGCACATAAAAGTTTGGCGCCCGCGATGACAGCCGTGCCTGCCCACAAATGCTAAGGAAGCGCATGGATCCCTATAGGTGTAGGGAAAAGCATCCAACGACCCGAAAATTGTTGCATATTTGGGTGGCCCATATTCAAATACACCTTCCAGAGCAACTTCAGCTTGGTTCGCACGTACACAAAAGTTCGGCGCCCGCGATGACGGTCGTGCCTGCCCACAAATGCTAAGGAAGCGCATGGATCCCTATAGGCGTAGGGAAAAGCATCCAACGACCCGAATATTGTTGCATATTTGGGTGGCTCATTTTCAAATACACCTTTTAGAGCAACTTCAGCTTAGTTCGCGCGTACAGAAAAGTTTGGCGCCCGCGATGATGGCGGTGCCTGCCGACAAATGCTAAGGAAGCGCATGGATCCCTATAGGCGTAGGGAAAAGCATCCAACGACCCAAATATTGTTGCATATTTGGGTGGCCCATGTTCAAATACACCTACTAGAGCAACTTCAGCTTGGTTCGCGCGCACAGAAAAGTTTGGCGCCCGCGATGACGGTCGTGTTTGCCAACATATGTCAAGGAAGCGCATGGATCCCTATAGGCTTAGGGAAAAGCATCGAACGACCAGATTGTTGTTGCATATTCGGGTGGCCCATGTTGAAATACACCTACAAGAGCAACTTCAGTTTGGTTCGCGCGCACAGAAAAGTTCGGCGACCGCGATGACGGCCGTGCCTGCCGACAAATGCTAAGGAAGCGCATGGATCCCTATAGGCGTATGGAAAAGCGTCCAACAACCCGAATATTGTTGAATATTCGGGTGGCCCATGTTCAAGTAAACCTATCAGAGCAACTTCAGATTGGTTCGCGCGCACATAAAAGTTCGGCGTCCGCAATGACGGCTGTGGCGGCCGACAAATGCTAAGGAAGCGCATGGATCCCTATAGGTGTAGGGAAAATCATCCAACGACCCGAATATTGTTGCATATTCGGGTGGCTCATGTTCAAATACACCTTCCAGAGCAACTTCAGCTTGGTTCTCGCGCACAAAAAGGTTCGGCACCCGCGATGACGGCCGTGCCTACCGACAAATGCTAAGGAAGCGCATGGATCCCTATATGCATAGGGAAAAGCATCCAACGGCCCAAATATTGTTGCATATTCGGGTGGCCCATATTCAAATACACCTACTAGAGCAACTTCAGCTTGGTTTGCGCGCACAGAAAAGTTCGGCGCCCGCGATGACGGCCGTGTCTGCCCACAAATGCTAAGGAAGCGCATGGATCCATATAGGCGTAGGGAAAAGCATCCAACGACCCGAATATTGTTGCATATTCGGGTGGCTCATGTTCAAATACACCTATCAGAGCAACTTTAGCTTGGTTCGCGCGCACAGAAAAGTTCGGCGCCCGCGATGACGGACGTGCCTGCCGACAAATTCTAAGGAAGCGCATGGATCCCTATAGGCGTAGGGAAAAGCATCCAACGACCCGAATATTGTTGCATATTCGGGGTGCCCATGTTCAAATACACCTACCAGAGCAACTTCAGCTTGGTTCGCGCGCACAGAAAACTTTGGCGCCCGCGATGACAGCCGTGCCTGCCCACAAATGCTAAGGAAGCGCATGGATCCCTATAGGCTTAGGGAAAAGCATCGAACGACCCGATTGTTGTTGCATATTCATGTGGCCCATGTTCAAATACACCTACCAGAGCAACTTCAGTTTGGTTCGCGCGCACAGAAAAGTTCGGCGCCCGCGATGACGGCCGTGCCTGCCGACAAATGCTAAGGAAGCGCATGGATCCCTATAGGCGTATGGAAAAGCATCGAACGACCCGATTGTTGTTGCATATTCGGGTGGCTCATGCTCAAATACACCTTCCAGAGCAACTTTAGCTTGGTTCGCGCGCACAAAAAAGTTCGGCGCCCGCGATGACGGCCGTGCCTGCCGACAAATGCTAAGGAAGCGCATGGATCCCTATAGGCATAGGGAAAAGCATCGAACGGCCCAAATATTGTTGCTTTTTTGGGTGGCCCATGTTCAAATACACCTACCAGAGCAACTTCAGCTTGGTCCGCGCGCACAGAAAAGTTCAGCGCCTGCAATGACAGCCGTGTCAGAATAGCAGTAGAAAGTTAGAACAGAAAAGAGGGCTTCTCTAATAAGCAGGGTAGTACATATAGCAAACCCTAATTTGGGTTGTACTCACTATAGAGTACCCCACTGTAGACTAGACAATTATAACATTCTAACACGCCCCCATAGGCAAAGTGGGGTATAGTCAGCACAATGAGCAGTCACAGAATAAGTGCACAAGCACAAGCAAAGCTAGAGGCAATCACAGAGGGCACGTGAGGAGGAGGGAATGTGAGAGGAGAGGAGATGGGAGGCGACGACGGAAGCTGCAGACACACGGTAGCGGCTGGCTCAGTGGCTACCGAAGCAAAGGCCCGGACTACAGGAGTAACTGGCTCCGCGGCTACGCCGAGCGGCTGGAGCAACTGATCCACTAGCGACTGGCGACTACCGGAGATTGTAGCCTCCGGACTACTGGCGCTGCTGGCGACACGACGGCTGCCTCCACGCAACCTCCTCCAACTGTCCCACACCCCTTTCACATACCCCCTGCTGCACCCCTAGCTCCACTCCCACGGCACCCCCCTAGCGCCACGCCCTCGGCTCCCACACATCCACCCCCCTCAGCGGTAGCTGCAGTAGTGGGAGACGGAGGAGGAGGAGGAGCGGACGGCGCACACACCCGCCACCCCCATACCCGCCCTAACTCCTGCCACCCCCAGACCCTCCACACGGCTGCACGCCAGCACGAAGTCGAAGGAGGAGGATGGGGGGGGGGAGGGTAGGCGGCGGCGAGGAGGGGCGGCGCTCGGATCCCCCGGGGCGCCACGACGGGCGACGGGAGGGGCGGACGCGCTGGCCCCCAGGGCGCCGCGACGGGCGACGGGAGGGGGCCGCGCGCGAGCCCCCAGGGCGCCGCGACGGGGCGACGGGAGGGGAAGGCGCGCGGGCCCCCGAGGCGCCACGACGGGCGACGGGAGGGGGGCCACGCGTGGGCCCCCAGGGCGCCGCGACGGGGCGACGGGAGGGGAAGGCGCGCGGGCCCCCGAGGCGCCACGACGGGCGACGAGAGGGGGCCGCGCGCGGGCCCCCAGGGCGCCGTGACGGGGCGACGGGAGGGGGTGGCGCGCGGGCCCCCGAGGGCGCCACGACGGGCGACGGGAGGGGGTGGCGCGCGAGCCCCCGGGCCGCCGCGACGGAGCGGAAACCCGCCACGCGCCCCGAGCGTGCGGCGGGCAGAAAACCGCCACGCGCCCCGAGCGCGTGGCGGGAAGAAACAAATCGTCGCGCGCCACGGGGCGCGTGACAGACAGTACAGTAGTGGCAGCGGAAGCAAACGGAGGGCCCATCTAAGGATCGACCCGGGGGGGTCGACCTGCTCTGATAGCATGTCAGAATAGCAGTAGAAAGTTAGAACAGAAAAGAGGGCTTCTCTAGTAAGCAGGGCAGTACATATAGCAAACCCTAATTTGGGTTGTACACACTATAGAGTACCCCACTGCAGACTAAACAATTATAACATTCTGACAAGCCGTGCCTGCCCACAAATGCTAAGGAAGCGCATGGATCCCTATAGGCGTAGGGAAAAGCATCCAACGACCCAAATATTGTTGCATATTTGGGTGGCCCATGTTCAAATACACCTACCAGAGCAACTTCAGCTTGGTTCGCGCGCACAGAAAAGTTCGGCGCCCGCGAAGACGGCCGTGCCTGCCCACATATGCTAAGGAAGCGCATGTATCTTTATAGGCGTAGGGAAAAGCATCCAACGAACCCAATATTGTTGCATATTCGAGTGGCCCATGTTCAAATACACCTACCAGAGCAACTTCAGCTTGGTTCGCGCGCACAGAAAAGTTCGGCGCCCGTGATGATGGCTTTGTCTGCTGACAAATGCTCAGGAAGAGCATGGATCCCTATAGGCGTAGGGAAAAGCATCGAACGACCCAAATAATGTTGCATATTCGGGTGGCTCATGTTCAAATACACCTACCAGAGCAACTTCTGCTTGGTTCGCGCGCACTGAAGAGTTCGGCGCCCGCGATGACGGCCGTGCCTGCCGACAAATGCTAAGGAAGAGCATGGATCCCTATAGGCGTAGGGAAAAGCATACAACGACCCGAATATTGTTGCATATTCGGGTGGCTCATGTTCAAATACACCTACCAGAGAAACTTCAGCTTGGATCGCGCGCACAGAAGAGTTCGGCGCCCGCGATGACGGCCGTGCCTGCCGACAAATGCTAAGGAAGCGCATGGATCCCTATAGGCGTAGGGAAAAGCATCCAACGACCCGAATATTGTTGCATATTTGGGTGGCCCATGTTCAAATACACCTACTAGAGCAACTTCAGCTTGGTTCGCGCGCACACAAAAGTTCGGCGCCCGCGATGACGGCCGTGCCTGCCCACAAATGCCAAGGAAGCGCATGGATCCCTATAGGCGTAGGGAAAAGCATCCAACGACCCGAATATTTTTGCATATTCGGGTGGCTCATGTTCAAATACACCTTCCAGAGCAACTTCAGCTTGGTTCGCGCGCATATAAAAGTTCGGCGCCCGCGATGACGGCCGTGCCTGCCCACAAATGCTAAAGAAGCGCATGGATCCCTAGAGGCGTAGGGAAAAGCATCCAACGACCCGAATATTGTTGCATATTCGGGTGGCCCATGTTCAAATACACCTTCCAGAGCAACTTCAGCTTGGTTCGCGCGCACAGAAAAGTTCGGCGCCCGCGATGACGGCCGTGCCTGCCGACAAATGCTAAGGAAGCGCATGGATCCCTATAGGCTTAGGGAAAAGCATCCAACGGCCCGATTGTTGTTGCATATTCGGGTGGCCCATGTTCAAATACACCTACCAGAGCAACTTCAGCTTGGTTCGCGCGCACAGAAAAGTTCGGCGCCCGCGATGACAGCCGTGCCTGCCCACAAATGCTAAGGAAGCGCATGGATCCCTATAGGCGTAGGGAAAAGCATCCAACGACCCAAATATTGTTGCATATTCGGGTGGCCCATGTTCAAATACAACTACCAGAGCAACTTCAGCTTGGTTCGCGCGCACAGAAAAGTTCGGCGCCCGCGATGACGGCCGTGCCTGCCGACAAATGCTAAGGAAAGGAAGCGCATGGGTGATGAGAGTAGGGAGAAGGGTGATGAGAGTAGGGAGAAGGGTGATGAGAGTAGGGAGAAGGGCGATGAGAGTAGGGAGAAGGGTGATGAGAGAAGGGAGAAGGGAGATGAGAGTAGGGAGAAGGGTGATGAGAGTAGGGAGAAGGGTGATGAGAGTAGGGAGAAGAGTGATGAGAGTAGGGAGAAGGGTGATGAGAGAAGGGAGAAGGGAGATGAGAGTATGGAGAAGGGTGATGAGAGAAGGGAGAAGGGAGATGACAGTAGGGAGAAGGGTGATGAGAGTAGGGAGAAGGGTGATGAGAGTAGGGAGAAGGGTGATTAGAGTAGGGAGAAGGGTGACGAGAGTAGGGAGAAGGGTGATGTGAGTAGGGAGAAGGGTGATGAGAGTAGGGAGAAGGGAGATAAATGTAGGGAGAAGGGAGATGAGAGTAGGGAGAAAGGTGATGAGAGTAGGGAGAAGGGAGAAGGGTGATGAGAGTAAAGAGAAGGGTGATGAGAGTAGGGAGAAGGGAGATGAGCCTGCCGACAAATGCTAAGGAAGCGCATGGATCCCTATAGGCATAGGGAAAAACATCCAACCACCCAAATATTGTTGCATCTTTGGGTGGCCCATGTTCAAATACACCTACCAGAGCAACTTCAGCTTGGTTCGCGCGCACGGAAAAGTTCGGCGCCCGCGATGACGGCCGTGTCTGTCCAGAAATGCTTAGGAAGCGTATGGATCCCTATAGGCGTAGGGAAAAGCATCCAACGACCCGATTGTTGTTGCATATTCAAATTGCCCATGTTCAAATATACCTACCAGAGCAACTTCAGCTTTGTTCGTGCGCACAGAAAAGTTCGGCGCCCACGATGACGACCGTGCCTGCCGACAAATGCTAAGGAAGCGCATGGATCCCTATAGGCGTAGGGAAAAGCATCCAACGACCCGAATATTGTTGCATATTCAGGTGGCTCATATTCAAATACGCCTTCTGGAGCAACTTCAGGTTGGTTCGCGCGCACAGAAAAGTTCGGCGCCCGCGATGACGGCTGTGCCTGCCGACAAATGCTAAGAAAGCGCATGGATCCCTATAGGCGCAGGGAAAATCATCGAACGACCCAAATATTGTTGCATATTCGGGTGGCCCATGTTCAAATACACCAACCAGAGCAACTTCAGCTTGGTTCGCGCGCACAGAAAAGTTCGGCGCCCGCGATGACGGCCGTGCCTGCCGACAAATGCTAAGGAAGCGCATGGATCCCTATAGGCGTAGGGAAAAGCATCCAACGGCCCGATTGTTGTTGCATATTCGGGTGGCCCATGTTCAAATACACCTACCAGAGCAACTTCAGCTTGGTTCGCGCGCACAGAAAAGTTCGGCGCCCGCGATGACAGCCGTGCCTGCCCACAAATGCTAAGGAAGCGCATGGATCCCTATAGGCGTAGGGAAAAGCATCCAACGACCCAAATATTGTTGCATATTCGGGTGGCCCATGTTCAAATACAACTACCAGAGCAACTTCAGCTTGGTTCGCGCGCACAGAAAAGTTCGGCGCCCGCGATGACGGCCGTGCCTGCCGACAAATGCTAAGGAAAGGAAGCGCATGGGTGATGAGAGTAGGGAGAAGGGTGATGAGAGTAGGGAGAAGGGTGATGAGAGTAGGGAGAAGGGCGATGAGAGTAGGGAGAAGGGTGATGAGAGAAGGGAGAAGGGAGATGAGAGTAGGCAGAAGGGTGATGAGAGTAGGGAGAAGGGTGATGAGAGTAGGGAGAAGAGTGATGAGAGTAGGGAGAAGGGTGATGAGAGAAGGGAGAAGGGAGATGAGAGTATGGAGAAGGGTGATGAGAGAAGGGAGAAGGGAGATGACAGTAGGGAGAAGGGTGATGAGAGTAGGGAGAAGGGTGATGAGAGTAGGGAGAAGGGTGATTAGAGTAGGGAGAAGGGTGACGAGAGTAGGGAGAAGGGTGATGTGAGTAGGGAGAAGGGTGATGAGAGTAGGGAGAAGGGAGATAAATGTAGGGAGAAGGGAGATGAGAGTAGGGAGAAAGGTGATGAGAGTAGGGAGAAGGGAGAAGGGTGATGAGAGTAAGGAGAAGGGTGATGAGAGTAGGGAGAAGGGAGATGAGCCTGCCGACAAATGCTAAGGAAGCGCATGGATCCCTATAGGCATAGGGAAAAACATCCAACCACCCAAATATTGTTGCATCTTTGGGTGGCCCATGTTCAAATACACCTACCAGAGCAACTTCAGCTTGGTTCGCGCGCACGGAAAAGTTCGGCGCCCGCGATGACGGCCGTGTCTGTCCAGAAATGCTTAGGAAGCGTATGGATCCCTATAGGCGTAGGGAAAAGCATCCAACGACCCGATTGTTGTTGCATATTCAAATTGCCCATGTTCAAATATACCTACCAGAGCAACTTCAGCTTTGTTCGTGCGCACAGAAAAGTTCGGCGCCCACGATGACGACCGTGCCTGCCGACAAATGCTAAGGAAGCGCATGGATCCCTATAGGCGTAGGGAAAAGCATCCAACGACCCGAATATTGTTGCATATTCAGGTGGCTCATATTCAAATACGCCTTCCGGAGCAACTTCAGGTTGGTTCGCGCGCACAGAAAAGTTCGGCGCCCGCGATGACGGCTGTGCCTGCCGACAAATGCTAAGAAAGCGCATGGATCCCTATAGGCGCAGGGAAAATCATCGAACGACCCAAATATTGTTGCATATTCGGGTGGCCCATGTTCAAATACACCAACCAGAGCAACTTCAGTTCGGTTCGCGCGCACAGAAAAGTTCGGCGCCCGCGATGACGGCCGTGCCTGCCCACAAATGCTAAGGAAAGGAAGCGCATGGTTGATGAGAGTAGGGAGAAGGGTGATGAGAGAAGGGAGAAGGGAGATGAGAGTAGGGAGAAAGGTGATGAGAGTAGGGAGAAGGGTGATGAGAGTAGGGAGAAGGGTGATGAGAGTAGGGAGAAGGGTGATGAGAGTAGGGAAAAGGGTGATGAGAGTAGGGGAAAGGGGAGATGAGAGTAGGGAGATGGGTGATGAGAGTAGGGAGAAGGGTGATGAGAGTTGGGAGAAGGGTGATGAGAGTAGGGAGAAGGGTGATGAGAGTTGGGAGAAGGGTGATGAGAGTAGGGAGAAGGGTGATGAGAGTAGGGAGAAGGGAGATGAGAGTAGGGAGAAGGGTGATGAGAGTAGGGAGAAGGGTGATGAGAGTAGGCAGAAGGGTGATGAGAGTAGGGAGAAGGGTGACAAATTCAAATATACCTACCAGAGCAACTTCAGCTTTGTTCGTGCGCACAGAAAAGTTCGGCGCCCACGATGACGACCATGCCTGCCGACAAATGCTAAGGAAGCGCATGGATCCCTATAGGCGTAGGGAAAAGCATCCAACGACCCGAATATTGTTGCATATTCGGGTGGCCCATGTTCAAATACACCTACTAGAGCAACTTCAGCTTGGTTTGCGCGCACAGAAAAGTTCGGCGCCCGCGATGACGGCCGTGCCTGCCCACAAATGCTAAGGAAGCGCATGGATCCCTATAGGCGTAGGGAAAGGCATCGAACGACCCGATTGTTGTTGCATATTCAGATGGCTCATGTTCAAATACACCTACCAGAGCAACTTCAGCTTAGTTCGCGCGAACAGGAAAGTTCAGCGCCCGCGATGATGGCCGTGCCTGCCGACAAATGCTAAGGAAGCGCATGGATCCCTATAGGTGTAGGGAAAAGCATCCAACGACCCGAATATTGTTGCATATTTGGGTGGCGCATGTTCAAATACACCTATCAGAGCAACTTCATATTGGTTTCGCGCGCATAGAAAAGTTCGGCGCCCGCGATGACGGCCGTGCCGGCCGACAAATGCTAAGGAAGGGAAGTGCATGGGTGATGAGAGTAGGGAGATGGGTGATGAGAGAAGGGAGAAGGGAGAGGATAGTAGGGAGAAGGGTGATGAGATTAGGGAGAAGGGTGATGAGAGTAGGGAGAAGGGTGATGAGAGTAGGGAGATGGGTGATGAGAGTAGGGAGAAGGGTGATGAGAGTAGGAAGAAGGGTGATGAGAGTAGGGAGAAGGGAGATGAGAGTAGGGAGAAGGGTAATGAGAGTAGGGAGAAGGGTGATGAGAGTAGGGAGAAGGGTGATGAGAGTAGGAAGAAGGGTGATGAGAGTAGGGAGGAGGGAGATGAGAGTAGGGAGAAGGAAGATGAGAGTAGGGAGAAAGGTGATGAGAGTAGGGAGAAGGGAGAAGGGAGAAGGGTGATGAGAGTAGGGAGAAGGGTGATGAGTGTAGGGAGAAGGGAGATGAGCCTGCCGACAAATGCTAAGGAAGCCATCCATCCCTATAGGCGTAGGGAAAAGCATCCAACGACCCAAATATTGTTGCATATTTGGGTGGCCCATGTTCAAATACACCTACCAGAGCAACTTCAGCTTGGTTCGCGTGCACAGAAAATTTCGGCGCCCGCGATGACGGCCGTGTCTGCCCACAAATGCTAAGGAAGCGGATGGATCCTTATAGGCGTAGGGAAAATCATCCAGCGACCCGAATATTGTTGCATATTCGGGTGGCCCATGTTCAAATACACCTTCCAGAGCAGCTTCAGCTTGGTTCGCGCACACAGAAAAGTTCGGCGCCCGCGATGACGGCCGTGCCTGCCGACAAATGCTAAGGAAGCGCATGGATCCCTATAGGCGTAGGGAAAAGCATCCAACGACCCAAATATTGTTGCATATTCGGGTGGCCCATGTTCAAATACACCTACCAGAGCAACATCAGCTTGGTTCGCGCGCACAGAAAAGTTCGGCGCCCGCAATGACGGCCGTGCCTGCCCACAAATGCTAAGGAAAGGAAGCGCATGGGTGATGAGAGTAGGGAGACGGGTGATGAGAGAAGGGAGAAGGGAGAGGAGAGTAGGGAGAAGGGTGATGAGAGTAGGGAGAAGGGTGATGAGAGTAGCGAGAAGGGTGATGAGAGTAGGGAGAAGGGTTATGAGAGTAGGGAGAAGGGTGATGATAGTAGGGAGAAGGGTGATGAGAGTAGGGAGAAGGGAGATGAGAGTAGGGAGAAGGGTAATGAGAGTAGGGAGAAGGGTGATGAGAGTAGGGAGAAGAGTGATGAGAGTAGGGAGAAAGGTGATGAGAGTAGGGAGAAGGGAGATGAGAATAGGGAGAAGGGAGATGACAGTAGGGAGAAAGGTGATGAGAGTAGAGAGAAGGGAGAAGGGTGATGAGAGTAGGGAGAAGGGTGATGAGTGTAGGGAGAAGGGAGATGAGCCTGCCGACAAATGCTAAGGAAGCGCATCGATCCCTATAGGCGTAGGGAAAAGCATCCAACGACCCAAATATTGTTGCATATTCGGGTGGCCCATGTTCAAATACACCTACCAGAGCAACTTCAGCTTGGTTCGCGTGCACAGAAAATTTCAGCGCCCGCGATGACGGCCGTGTCTGCCCACAAATGCTAAGGAAGCGCATGGATCCTTATAGGCGTAGGGAAAAGCATCGAACGACCCGATTGTCGTTGCATATTCGGGTGGCCCATGTTCAAATACACCTACCAGAGCAACTTCAGCTTGGCTCGCGCGCACAGAAAATTTCGGCGCCCGCTATGACGGCCGTGCCTGCCGACAAATGCTAAGGAAGCGCATGGATCCTTATAGGCGTAGGGAAAATCATCCAGCGACCCGAATATTGTTGCATATTTGGGTGGCCCATGTTCAAAAACACCTATCAGAGCAACTTCAGATTGGGTCGCGCGCACACAAAAGTTCGGCGCCCGCGATGACGGCCGTGCCGGCCGACAAATGCTAAGGAAGCGCATGGATCCCTATAGGCGTAGGGAAAAGTATCCAACGACCCGAATATTGTTGCATATTCGGGTGGCTCATGTTCAAATACACCTTCCAGAGCAACTTCAGCTTGGTTCGCGCACACAAAAAAGTTAGGCGCCCGCGATGACGGCCGTGCCTGCCGACAAATGCTAAGGAAGCGCACGGATCCCTATAGGCGTAGGGAAAAGCATCCAACGACCCAAATATTGTTGCATATTCGGGTGGCCCATGTTCAAATACACCTACCAGAGCAACTTCAGCTTGGTTCGCGCGCACACAAGAGGTCGGCGCCCGCGATGACGGCCGTGCCTGCCGACAAATGCTAAGGAAGCGCATGGATACCTATAGGCGTAGGGAAAAGCATCCAACGACCCGAATATTGTTGCATATTCGGGTGGCCCATGTTCAAATACACCTATCAGAGCACCTTCAGATTGGTTCGCGCGAACAGAAAAGTTCGGCGCCCGCGATGACGGCCGTGCCGGCCGACAAATGCTAAGGAAGCGCATGGATCCCTATAGGCGTAGGGAAAAGTATCCAACGACCCGAATATTGTTGCATATTCGGGTGGCTCATGTTCAAATACACCTTCCAGAGCAACTTCAGCTTGGTTCGCGCACACAAAAAAGTTCGGCGCCCGCGATGACGGCCGTGCCTGCCGACAAATGCTAAGGAAGCGCATGGATCCCTATAGGCGTAGGGAAAAGCATCCAACGACCCAAATATTGTTGCATATTCGGGTGGCCCATGTTCAAATACACCTACCAGAGCAACTTCAGCTTGGTTCGCGCGCACAGGAAAGTTCCGCGCCCGCGATGACGGCCATGCCTGCCCACAAATGCTAAGCAAAGGAAGCGTATGGGTGATGAGAGTAGGGAGACGGGTGATGAGAGAAGGGAGAAGGGAGAGGAGAGTAGGGAGAAGGGTGATGAGAGTAGGGAGAAGGGTGATGAGAGTAGGGAGAAGGGTGATGAGAGTAGGGAGAAGGGTGATGAGAGTAGGGAGAAGGGTGATGAGAGCAGGGAGAAGGGTGATGAGAGTAGGGAGAAGGGTGATAAGAGTAGGGAGAAGGGTGATGAGAGTAGGGAGTAGGGTGATGGGAGTAGGGAGAAGGGTGATGAGAGTAGGGAGAAAGGTGATGAGAGTAAGAAGAAGGGAGATGAGCCTGCCAACAAAATCTAAGGAAGCGCATGGATCCCTATAGGCATAGGGAAAAGAATCCAACGACCCAAATATTGTTGCATATTTGGGTGGCCCTTGTTCAAACACTCCTACCCGAGCAACTTTAGCTTGGTTCGCGCGCACAGAAAAGTTCGGCGCCCGCGATGACGGCCGTGTCTGCCCATAAATGCTAAGGAAGCGCATGGATCCCTATAGGCGTAGGGAAAAGCATCCAACGACCCGATTATTGTTGCGTATTCAGGTGGCCCATGTTCAAATACACCTACCAGAGCAACTTCAGCTTGGTTCGCGCGCACAGAAAAGTTCGGCGCCTGCGTTGACGGCCGTGCCGGCCGACAAATGCTAAGGATGCACATGGATCCCTATAGGCGTAGGGAAAAGCATCCAGCGACCCAAATATTGTTGCATATTCGGGTGGCCCATGTTCAAATACACCTATCAGAGCAAATTCAAATTGGTTCTCACGCACAGAAAAGTTCGGCGCCCGCGATGACGGCCGTGCCAGCCGACAAATGCTAAGGAAGCACATGAATCCCTATAGGCGTAGGGAAAAGCATCCAACGACCCGAATATTGTTGCATATTCGGGTGGCTCATGTTCAAATACACCTTCCTGAGCAACTTCAGCTTCGTTCGCGCGCACAGAAAAGTTCGGCGCCCGTGATGACGGCCGTGCCTGTCGACAAATGCTAAGGAAGCGCATGGATCCCTATAGGCGTAGGGAAAAGCATCCAAAGACCCTAATATTGTTGCATATTCGGGTGGCCCATGTTCAAATACACCTACCAGAGCAACTTCAGCTTGGTTCGGGCGCACAGGAAAGTTCAGCGCCCGCGATGATGGCCGTGCCTGCCCACAAATGCTAAGGAACGGAAGCGCATGGGTGATGAGAGTAGGGAGAAGGGTGATGAGAGAAGGGAGAAGGGAGATGAGAGTAGGGAGAAGGGTGATGAGAGTAGGGAGAAGGGTGATGAGAGTAGGGAGAAGGGTGATGAGAGTAGGGAGAAGGGTGATGAGAGAAGGGAGAAAGGAGATGAGAGTAGGGAGAAGGGTGATGAGAGTAGGGAGAAGGGTGATGAGAGTAGGGAGAAGGGTGATGAGAGTAGGGAGAAGGGTGATGAGAGTAGGGAGAAGGGTGATGAGAGTAGGGAGAAGGGAGATGAGAGTTGGGAGAAGGGTGATGAGAGTAGGGAGAAGGGTGATGAGAGTAGAGAGAAGGGTGATGAGAGTAGGGAGAAGGGTGATGAGAGTAGGCAGAAGGGTGATGAGAGTAGGGAGAAGGGTGATGAGAGTAGGGAGAAGGGAGATGAGCCTGCCGATAAATGCTAAGGAAGCGCATGGATTCCTATAGGCGTAGGGAAAAGCATCCAACGACCCAAATATTGTTGCATATTCGGGTGGCCTATATTCAAATACACCTACCCGAGCAACTTCAGCTTGGTTCGCGCGCACAGAAAAGTTCGGCGCCCGCGATGACGGACGTGCCTGCCCACAAATGCTAAGGAAGCGCATGGATCCCTATAGGCGTAGGGAAAAGCATCGAACGACCCGATTGTTGTTGCATATTTAGGTGGCCCATGTTCAAATACACCTACCAGAGCAACTTCAGCTTGGTTCGTGCGCACAGAAAAGTTCGGCGCCCGCGATGACGGCCGTGCCTGCCGACAAATGCTAAGGAAGTGCATGGATCCCTATAGGCGTAGGGAAAAGCATCCAACGACCCGAATATTGTTGCATATTCGGGTGGCCCATGTTCAAATACACCTATCAGAGCAACTTCAGATTGGCTCGCGTGCACAGAAAAGTTCGGCGCCCGCGATGACGGCCGTGCCGGCCGACAAATGCTAAGGAAGCGCATGGATCCCTAAAGGCGTAGGGAAAAGCATCCAACGACCCGAATATTGTTGCATATTCGGGTGGCTCATGTTCAAATACACCTTCCAGAGCAACTTCAGCTTGGTTTGCGCGCACAGAAAAGTTCGGCGCCCGCGATGACGGCCGTGCCTGCCGACAAATGCTAAGGAAGCGCATGGATCCCTATATGCGTAGGGAAAAGCATCTTACGACCCAAACATTGTTGCATATTCGGGTGGCCCATGTTCAAATGCACCTTCCAGAGCAACTTCAGCTTGGTTCGCGCGCACTGAAAAGTCCGGCACCCACGATGACGGCCGTGCCTGCCCATAAATGCTAAGGAAAGGAAGCGCATGGGTGATGAGAGTAGGGAGAAGGGTGATGAGAGAAGGAAGAAGGGAGATGAGAGTAGGGAGAAGGGAGATGAGAGTAGGGAGAAGGGTGATGAGAGTAGGGAGAAGGGTGATGAGAGTAGGGAGAAGGGTGATGAGAGTAGGGAGAAGGGTGATGAGAGTAGGGAGAAGGGAGATGAGAGTAGGGAGAAGGGAGATTAGAGTAGGGAGAAAGATGATGAAAGTAGGGAGAAGGGAGAAGGGTGATGATAGTAGGGAGAAGGGTGATGAGAGTAGGGAGAATGGAGATGTGCCTGCCGACAAATTCTAAGGAAGCGCATGGATCCCTATAGGCGTAGGGAAAAGCATCCAACGATCCAAATATTGTTGCATATTCGGGTAGCACATGTTCAAATACACCCACCAGAGCAACTTCAGCTTGGTCCGCGCGCACAGAAAAGTTCGGCACCCGCGATGACGGCCGTGCCTGCCGACAAATGCTAAGGAAGTGCATGGATCCCTATAGGCGTAGGGGTCCAACGACCCGAATATTGTTGCATATTCGGGTGGCCCATGTTCAAATACACCTATCAGAGCAACTTCAGATTGATTCGCGCGCACAGAAAAGTTCGGCGCCCGCGATGACGGCCGTGCCGGCCGACAGATGCTAAGGAAGCGCATGGATCCCTATAGTCGTAGGGAAAAGCATCCAACGACCCGAATATTGTTGCATATTCGGGTGGCCCATGTTCAAATACACCTTCCAGAGCAACTTCAGCTTGGTTCGCGCCCACAGAAAAGTTCGGCGCCCGCGATGACGGCGTGCCTGCTGACAAATGCTAAGGAAGCGCATGGATCCCTATAGGCGTAGGGAAAAGCATCCAACGACCCAAATATTGTTGCATATTCGGGTGGCCCATGTTCAAATACACCTACTAGAGCAAATTCAGCTTGGTTCGCGCGCACAGAAAAGTTCGGCGCCCGCGATGACGGCCGTGCCTGCCCACAAATGCTAAGGAAAGGAAACACATGGGTGATGAGAGTAGGGAGAAGGATGATGAGAGGAGGGAGAAGGGAGATGAGAGTAGGGAGAAGGGTGATGAGAGTAGGGAGAAGGGTGATGAGAGTAGGGAGAAGGGTGATGATAGTAGGGAGAAGGGTGATGAGAGTAGCGAGAAGGGTGATGAGAGTAGGGAGAAGGGAGATGAGAGTAGGGAGAAGGGTGATGAGAGTAGGGAGAAGGGTGATGTGAGTAGAGAGAAGGGTGATGAGAGTAGGGAGAAGTGTGATGAGAGTAGGGAGAGGATGATGAGAGTAGGGAGAAGGGTGATGAGAGTAGGGAGAAGGGTGATGAGAGTAGGGAGAAGGGTGATGAGAGTAGAGAGAAGGGTGATGAGAGTAGGGAGAAGGGTGATGAGTGTAGGGAGAAGGGTGATGAGAGTAGGGAGAAGGGTGATAAGAGTAGGGAGACGGGTGATGAGAGTAGGGAGAAGGGTGATGAGAGTAGGGAGAAGGGAGATGAGAGTAGGGAGAAGGGTGATGAGAGTAGGGAGAAGGGTGATGAGAGTAGGGAGAAGGGTGATGAGAGTAGGGAGAAGGGTGATGAGAGTAGGGAGAAGGGTGATCAGAGTAGGGAGAAGGGTGATGAGAGTAGGGAGAAGGGTGATGAGAGTAGGGAGAAGGGTGATTAGAGTAGGGAGAAGGGTGATGAGAGTAGGGAGAAGGGTGATGAGAATAGGGAGAAGGGTGATGAGAGTAGGGAGAAGGGTGATGAGAGTAAGGAGAAAGGTGATGAGATTAGGGAGAAGGGAGAAGGGTGATGAGAGTAGGGAGAAGGGTGATTAGAGTAGGGAGAAGGGAGATGAGCCTGCCGACAAATGCTAAGGAAGCGCATGGATCCCTATAGGCGTAGGGAAAGGCATCCAACGACCCAAATATTGTTGCATATTCGGGTGGCTCATGTTCACATACACCTACTAGAGCAACTTCAGCTTGGTTCGCGCGAACAGAAAAGTTCGGCGCCCACGATGACGGTTGTGCCTGGCCACAAATGCTAAGGAAAGGAAGCGCATGGGTGATGAGAGAAGGGAGAAGGGAGATGAGAGTAGGGAGAAGGGTTATGAGAGTAGGGAGAAGGGTGATGAGAGTAGAGAGAAGGGTGATGAGAGTAGGGAGAAGGGTGATGAGTGTACGGAGAAGGGTGATGAGAGTAGGGAGAAGGGTGATAAGAGTAGGGAGAAGGGTGATGAGAGTAGGGAGAAGGGTGATGAGAGTAGGGAGAAGGGAGATGAGAGTAGGGAGAAGGGTGATGAGAGTAGGGAGAAGGGTGATGAGAGTAGGGAGAAGGGTGATGAGAGTAGGGAGAAGGGTGATGAGGGTAGGGAGAAGGGTGATAAGAGTAGGGAGAAGGGTGATGAGAGTAGGGAGAAGGGTGATGAGAATAGGGAGAAGGGTGATGAGAGTAGGGAGAAGGGTGATTAGAGTAGGGAGAAGGGTGATGAGAGTAGGGAGAAGGGTGATGAGAGTAGGGAGAAGGGTGATGAGAGTAGGGAGAAGGTTGATGAGAATAGGGAGAAGGGTGATGAGAGTAGGGAGAAAGGTGATAAGAGTAGGGAGAAGGGAGATGAGAGAAGGGAGAAGGGTGATGAGAGTAGGGAGAAGGGAGATGAGAGTAGGGAGAAGGGAGATGAGAGTAGGGAGAAAGGTGATGAGAGTAGGGAGAAGGGAGAAGGGTGATGAGAGTAGGGAGAAGGGTGATGAGAGTAGGGAGAAGTGAAATGAGCCTGCCGACAAATGCTAAGGAAGCGCATGGATCCCTATACGCGTAGGGAAAAGCATCCAACGACCCGAATGTTGATGCATATTCGAGTGGCTCATGTTCAAATACACCTTCCAGAGCAACTTCAGCTTGGTTCGCGCGCACAGAAAATATCGGCGCCCGCGATGACACCGTGCCTGCCCACAAATGCTAAAGAAGTGTATGGATATAGGCGTAGGGAAAAGCATCGAACGACCCGATTGTTGTTGCATATTCAGGTGGCCCATGTTCAAATGCACCTACCAGAGGAACTTCAGCTTGGTTCGCGCGCATAGAAAAGTTCGGCGCCCGCGATGACGGCCGTGCCTGCCGACAAATGCTAACGAAGCGCATGGATCTCTAAAGGCGTAGGGAAAAGCATCCAACGACCCAAATATTGTTGCATATTCGGGTGGCCCATGTTCAAATACACCTACCAGAGCAACTTCAGCTTGGTTTGCGTGCACAAAAAAGTTCGGCGCCCGTGATGACGGCCGTGCCTGCCGACAAATGCTAAGGAAGCGCATGGATCCTTATAGGCGTAGGGAAAAGCATCCAACGACCCGAATATTGTTGCATATTCTGGTGGCCCGTGTTCAAATACACCTATCAGAGCAACTTCAGATTGGTTCGCGCGCACAGAAATGTTTGGCGCCCGCGATGACGGCCGTGCCGGCCGACAAATGTCGACGCCCGCGATGGCGGCCGTGCTTGCCGACAAATGCTAAGGAAGCGCATGGATCGCTATAGGCGTAGGGAAAAGCATCCAACGACCCAAATATTGTTGCATATTCGGGTGGCCCATGTTTAAAGACACCTACCAGAGCAACTTCAGCTTGGTTCGCGCGCACATAAAAGTTCGGTGCCCGCGATGACGGCCGTGCCTGCCCACAAATGCTACGGAAAGGAAGCCCATGGGTGATGTGAGTAGGGAGAAGGGAGATAAGAGTAGGGAGAAGGGTGATGAGAGTAGGGAGAAGGGTGATGAGAGTAGGGAGAAGGGTGATGAGAGTAGGGAGAAGGGAGATGAGAGTAGGGAGAAGTGAGATGAGAGTAGGGAGAAAGGTGATGAGAGTAGGGATAAGGGTGATGAGAGTAGGGAGAAAGGTGATGAGAGTAGGGAGAAGGGTGATGAGAGTAGGGAGAAGGGTGATGAGAGTAGGCAGAAGGGAAATGAGAATAGGGAGAAGGGAGATAAGAGTAGGGAGAGGGGTGATGAGAGTAGGGAGAAGGGTGATGAGAGTAGGGAGAAGGGTGATGAGAGTAGGGAGAAGGGTGATGAGAGTAGGGAGAAGGGAGATGAGAGTAGGGAGAAAGGTGATGAGAGTAGGGAGAAGGGTGAAGGGTGATGAGAGTAGGGAGAAGGGTGATGAGAGTTGGGAGAAGGGAGATGAGCCTGCCGATAAATGCTAAGGAAGCGCATGGATCCCTATAGGCGTAGGGAAAAGCATCCAACGACCCAAATATTGTTGAATGTTCGGGTGGCACATGTTCAAATCTACTACCAGAGCAACTTTAGCTTGGTTCGCGCGCACAGAAAAGTTCGGCGCCGGCAATGACGGCCGTGTCTGCCCACAAATGCAAAGGACACGCATGAATCCCTATAGGCGTAGGGAAAAGCATCGAACGACCCGTTTTTTGTTGCATATTCAGGTGGCCCATGTTCAAATACACCTACCAGAGCAACTTCAGCTTGGTTCGCGCGCACAGAAAAGTTCGGCGCCCGCGATGACAGCCGTGCCTGCCCACAAATACTAAGGAAGCGCATGGATCCCTATAGGCGTAGGGAAAAGCATCCAACGACCCGAATATTGTTGCATATTCGGGTGGCTCATGTTCAAATACACCTACCAGAGCAACTTCAGCTTGGTTCGCGCGCACAGAAAAGTTCGGCACCCGCGATGACGGCCGTGCCGGCCGACAAATGCTAAGAAAGCGCATTGATCCCTTCTGGCGTAGGGAAAAGCATCCAACGACCCGTTTTTTGTTGCATATTCAGGTGGCCCATGTTCAAATATACCTACCAGAGCAACTTCAGCTTGGTTCGCGCGCACAGAAAAGTTCGCGCTCGCAATGACGGTCGTGCGTGCCGACAAATGCTAAGGAAGCGCATGGATTCCTATAGGCGTAGGGAAAAGCATCCAACGACCCGAATATTGTTGCATATTTGAGTGGCCCATGTTCACATACACCTAACAGAGCAACTTCAGCTTGGTTCGTGCGCACAGAAAGGTTCAGCGCCCGCGATGACGGCCGTGTCTGCCCACAAATGCTAAGGAAGCGCATGGATCCCTATAGGCGTAGGGAAAAGCATCGAACGACCCGATTGTTATTGCATATTCAGGTGGCCCATGTTCACCTACACCTACCAGAGCAACTTCAGCTTGGTTCGCGCGCAAATAAAAGTTCGGCACCCGCGATGACGGACGTGCCGGCCGACAAATGCTAAGGAAGCGCATGGATCCCTATAGGCGTAGGGAAAAGCGTCCAACGACCCAAATATTGTTGCATATTTGGGTGGCTCAAGTTCAAATACACCTACCAGAGCAACTTCAGCTTGGTTCGCGCGCACAGAATAGTTGGCGCCCGCGATGGAGGCCGTGCCTGCCCACAAATGCTACAAAAGTGCATGGATCCCTGTAGGCGTAGGGAAAAGCTTCCAACGACCCAATTGCTGTTGCATATTCGGGTGGCCCATGTTCAAATGGACCTACCATAGCAACTTCAGCTTGGTGCGCACACAGAATAGATGGCGCCCGCGATGACGGTCGTGCTTACCCACAAACGCTAAGGAAAGGAAGCGCATGGGTGATGAGAGTAGGGAGAAGGGTGATGAGAGAAGGGAGAAGGGAGATGAGAGTAGGGAGAAGGGTGATGAGAGTAGGGAGAAGGGTGATGAGAGTAGGGAGAAGGGTGATGAGAGTAGGGAGAAGGGAGATGAGAGTAGGGAGAAGGGTGATGAGAGTAGAGAGAAGGGTGATAAAAGTAGGGAGAGGGTGATGAGAGTAGGGAGAAGGGTGATGAGAGTAGGGAGAAGGGTGATGAGAGTAGGGAGAAGGGTGATGAGAGTAGGGAGAAGGGTGATGAGAGTAGGGAGAAGGGTGATGAGAGTAGGAAGAAGGGTGATGAGAGTAGGGAGAAGGGTGATGAGAGTAGGGAGAAGGGAGATGAGAGTAGGGAGAAGGGTGATGAGAGTAGAGAGAAGGGTGATAAAAGTAGGGAGAGGGTGATGAGAGTAGGGAGAAGGGTGATGAGAGTAGGGAGAAGGGTGATGAGAGTAGGGAGAAGGGTGATGAGAGTAGGGAGAAGGGTGATGAGAGTAGAGAGAAGGGTGATGAGAGTACGGAGAAGGGTGATGAGAGAAGGGAGAAGGGTGATGAGAGTAGGGAGAAGGGTGATGAGAGTAGGGAGAAGGGTGATGAGAGAAGGGAGAAGGGAGATGAGAGTAGAGAGAAGGGTGATGAGAGTAGGGAGAAGGGTGATGAGAGTAGGGAGAAGGGTGATGAGAGTAGGGAGAAGGGTGATGAGAGTAGGGAGAAGGGAGATGAGAGTAGGGAGAAGGGAGATGAGAGTAGGGAGAAAGATGATGAGAGTAGGGAGAAGGGAGAAGGGTGATGAGAGTAGGGAGAAGGGTGATGAGAGTAGGAGAAGGGAGATGAGCCTGCCGACAAATGCTAAAGAAGCGCATGGATCCCTATAGGCGTAGGGAAAAGCATCCAACAACCAAAATATTGTTGCATATTCGGGTGGCCCATGTTCAAATACACCTATCAGAGCAACTTCATATTTGTTCGCGCGCACAGAAAAGTTCGGCGTCCGCGATGATGGCCGTGGCGGCCGACAAATGCTGAGGAAGTGCATGGATCCCTATAAGCCTAAGGAAAAGCATCCAACGACCCGAATATTGTTGCATATTCGGGTGGCCCATATTCAAATACACCTACCAGAGCAACTTCAGCTTGGTTTGCGCGCACAGAAAAGCTCGGCGCCCGCGATGACGGCCGTGTCTGCCCACAAATGCTAAGGAAGCGCATGGATCCATATAGGCGTAGGGAAAAGGATCCAACGACCCGATTGTTGTTGCATATTTGGGTGGCTCATGTTCAAATACACCTTCCAGAGCAACTTCAGCTTGGTTCGCGCGCACAAAAAAAAGTTCGGCGCCCGCGATTACGGCCGTGCCTGCCGACAAATACTAAGGAAGCGCATGGATCCCTATAGGCATAGGGAAAAGCATCAAACGGCCCAAATATTGTTGATTATTTAGGTGGCCCATGTTCAAATACACCTTCCAGAGCAACTTCAGCTTGGTTCGCGCGCAGAGAAAAGTTCGGCGCCCGCGATGACGGTCGTGCCTGCCGACAAATACTAAGGAAGCGCATGGATCCCTATAGGCGTAGGGAAAAGCATCAAACGGCCCAAATATTGTTGATTATTTAGGTGGCCCATGTTCAAATACACCTACCAGAGCAACTTCAGCTTGGTTCGCGCGCACAGAAAAGTTCGGCGCCTGCGATGACGGCCGTGCCTGCCCACAAATGCTAAGGAAGCGCATGGATCCCTATAGGCGTAGGGAAAAGCATCCAACGACCCAACTATTGTTGCATATTCGGGTGGCCCATGTTCAAATACACCTACCAGAGCAACTTCAGCTTGGTTCGCGCGCACAGAAAAGTTCGGCGCCCGCGATGACGGCCGTGCCTGCCCACAAATGCTAAGGAAGCGCATGGATCCCTATAGGCGTAGGGAAAAGCATCCAACGACCCAACTATTGTTGCATATTCGAGTGCCCCATGTTCAAATACACCTACCAGAGCAACTTCAGCTTGGTTCGCGCGCACAGAAAAGTTCGGCGCCCGCGATGACGGCCGTGTCTGCCCACAAATGCTAAGGAAGCGCATGGATCCCTATACGCGTAGGGAAAAGCATCGAACGACCCGATTGTTGTTACATATTCAGGTGGCCTGTGTTCAAATACACCTACCAGAGCAACTTCAGCTTGGTTCGCGCGTAGAGAAGAGTTCGGCGCCCGCGATGACGGCCGTGCCTGCCGACAAATGCTAAGGAAGAGCATGGATCCCTATAGGCGTAGGGAAAAGCATCCAACGACCCGAATATTGTTGCATATTCGGGTGGCTCATGTTCAAATACACCTTCCAGAGCAACTTCAGCTTGGTTCGCGCGTACAGAAAATTTCGGCGCCCGCGATGACGGCAGTGCCTGCCGACAAATGCTAAGGAAGCGCATGGATCCCTATAGGCGTAGGGAAAAGCATCCAACGACCCAAATATTGTTGCATATTCGGGTGGCTCATGTTCAAATACACCTACCAGAGCAACTTCAGCTTGGTTCGCGCGCACAGAAAAGTTCGGCGCCCGCGATGACGGCCGTGCCTGCCCACAAATGCTAAGGAAGCGCACGGATCCCTAAAGGCGTATGGAAAAGCATCCAACGGCCCGAATATTGTTGCATATTCGGGTGGCTCATGTTTAAATACACCTTCCAGAGCAACTTCAGCTTGGTTCTCGCGCACAGAAAGGTTAAGCGCCCGCGATGACGGCCGTGCCTGCCGACAAATGCTAAGGAAGCGCATGGATCCCTATATGCATAGGGAAAAGCATCGAACGGCCCAAATATTATTGCTTTTTCGGGTGGCCCATGTTCAAATACACCTACCAGAGCAACTTCAGCTTGGTCCGCGCGCACAGAAAAGTTCAGCGCCTGCGATGACAGCCGTGTCAGAATAGTAGTAGAAAGTTAGAACAGAAAAGAAGGCTTCTCTAATAAGCAGGGTAGTACATATAGCAAACCCTAATTTGGGTTGTACTCACTATAGAGTACCCCACTGTAGACTAGACAATTATAACATTCTGACACACCCCCATAGGCAAAGTGGGGTATTGTCAGCACAATGAGCAGTCACAGAATAAGTGCACAAGCACAAGCAAAGGTAGAGGCAATCACAGAGGGCACGTGAGGAGGAGGAGGGAATGTGAGAGGAGAGGAGATGGGAGGCGACGACGGAAGCTGCAGACACACGGTAGCGGCTGGCTCAGTGGCTACCGAAGCAAAGGCCCGGACTACAGGAGTAACTGGCTCCGCGGCTACGCTGAGCGGCTGGAGCAACTGATCCACTAGCGACTGGCGACTACCGGAGATTGTAGCCTCCGGACTACTGGCGCTGCTGGCGACACGACGGCTGCCTCCACGCAACCTCCTCCAACTGTCCCACACCCCTTTCACATACCCCCTGCTGCACCCCTAGCTCCACTCCCACGGCACCCCCCTAGCGCCACGCCCTCGGCTCCCACACATCCACCCCCCTCAGCGGCAGCTGCAGTAGTGGGAGACGGAGGAGGAGGAGGAGGAGGGGCGGACGGCGCACACACCCGCCACCCCCATACCCGCCCTAACTCCTGCCACCCCCAGACCCTCCACACGGCTGCACGCCAGCACGAAGTCCAAGGAGGAGGAGGGGGGGGGGGGGAGGGTAGGCGGCGGCGAGGAGGGGCGGCGCTCGGATCCCCCGGGGCGCCACGACGGGCGACGAGAGGGGCGGACGCGCTGGCCCCTGGGGCGCCACGACGGGCGACGGGAGGGGGCCGCGCGCGGGCCCCCAGGACGCCGCGACGGCCGACGGGAGGGGGCCGCGCGCGGGCCCCCAGGGCGCCACGACGGGGCGACGGGAGGGAAAAGCGCGCGGGCCCCCGAGGCGCCACGACGGGCGACGGGAGGGGGGCCACGCGCGGGCCCCTTGGGCGCCGCGACAGGGCGACGGGAGGGGAAGGCGCGCGGGCCCCCGAGGCGCCACGACGGGCGACGGGAGGGGGCCGCGCGCGGGCCCCCTGGGCGCCGCGACGGGGCGACGGGAGGGGGTGGCGCGCGGGCCCCCGAGGGCGCCACGACGGGCGACGGGAGGGGGTGGCGCGCGGGCCCCCGGGGCGCCGCGACGGAGCGGAAAACCGCCACGCGCCCCGAGCGTGCGGCGGGCAGAAAACCGCCACGCGCCCCGAGCGCGTGGCGGGAAGAAAAAAATCGTCGCGCGCCACGGGGCGCGCGACAGACAGTACAGTAGTGGCAGCGGAAGCAAACGGTGGGCCCATCCACAGGATTGACCCGGGGGGATCGACCTGCTCTGATAGCATGTCAGAATAGCAGTAGAAAGTTAGAACAGAAAACAGGGCTTCTCTAGTAAGCAGGGCAGTACATATAGCAAACCCTAATTTGGGTTGTACTCACTATAGAGTACCCCACTGCAGACTAGACAATTATAACATTCTGACATGCCGTGCCTGCCCACAAATGCTAAGGAAGCGCATGGATCCCTATAGGCGTAGGGAAAAGCATCCAACGACCCAAATATTGTTGCATATTCGGGTGGCTCATGTTCAAATACACCTACCAGAGCAACTTCAGCTTGGTTCGCGCGCACACAAGAGGTCGGCGCCCGCGATGACGGCCGTGCCTGCCGACAAATGCTAAGGAAGCGCATGGATCCCTATAGGCGTAGGGAAAAGCATCCAACGACCCGAATATTGTTGCATATTCGGGTGGCCCATGTTCAAATACACCTTCCAGAGCAACTTCAGCTTGGTTCGCGCGCACACAAGAGTTCGGCGCCCGCGATGACGGCCGTGACTGCCGACAAATGCTAAGGAAGCGCATGGATCCCTATAGGCGTAGGGAAAAGCATCCAACGACCCGAATATTGTTGCATATTTGGGTGGCCCATGTTCAAATACACCTACTAGAGCAACTTCAGCTTGGTTCGCGCGCACACAAAAGTTCGGCGCCCGCGATGACGGCCGTGCCTGCCCACAAATGCTAAGGAAGCGCATGGATCCCTATAGGCGTAGGGAAAAGCATCTAACGACCCGAATATTGTTGCATATTTGGGTGGCTCATGTTCAAATACACCTTCCAGAGCAACTTCAGCTTGGTTCGCTCGCACACAAAAGTTCGGCGCTCGCGATGACGGCCGTGCCTGCCCACAAATGCTAAGGAAGCGCATGGATCCCTATAGGCGTAGGGAAAAGCATCCAACGACCCGAATATTGTTGCATATTCAGGTGGATCATGTTCAAATACACCTTCCAGAGCAACTTCAACTTGGTTCGCGCGCACACAAAAGTCCGGCGCCCGCGATGACGGCCGTGCCTGCCCACAAATGCTAAGGAAGCGCATGTATCCCTATAGGCGTAGGGAAAAGCATCCAACGGCCCCAATATTGTTGCTTATTTGGGTGGCCCATGTTCAAATACACCTACCAGAGCAACTTCAGCTTGGTTCGCGCGCACAAAAAAGTTCGGCGCCCGCGATGACGGCCGTGCCTGCCCACAAATGCTAAGGAAGCGCATTGATCCCTATAGGCGTAGGGAAAAGCATCCAACGAACCAAATATTGTTGCATATTCAGGTGGCCCATGTTCAAATACACCTACCAGAGCAACTTCAGCTTGGTTCGCGCGCACACAAAAGTTCGGCGCCCGCGATGACGTCCGTGCCTGCCCACAAATGCCAAGGAAAGGAATTGCATGGGTGATGAGAGTAGGGACAAGGGTGATGAGAGAAGGGAGAAGGGAGATGATAGTAGGGAGATGGGTGATGAGTGTAGGGAGAAGGATGATGAGAGTAGGGAGAAGGGTGATGAGAGTAGGGAGAAGGGTGATGAGAGTAGGGAGAAGGGTGATGAGAGTAGGGAGAAGGGAGATGAGAGTAGGGAGAAGGGTGATGAGATTAGGGAGAAGGGTGATGAGAGTAGAGAGAAGTGTGATGAGAGTAGGGAGACGGGTGATGAGAGTAGGGAGAAGGGTGATGAGAGTAGGGAGAAGGGTGATGAGAGTAGGGAGAAGGGTGATGAGAGTAGGGAAAAGGGTGATGAGAGTAGGGAGAACGGAGATGAGAGTAGGGAGAAGGGTGATGAGAGTACGGAGAAGGGTGATGAGAGTAGAGAGAAGGGTGATGAGAGTAGGGAGAAGGGTGATGAGATTAGGGAGAAGGGTGATGAGAGTAGGGAGAAGGGTGATGAGAGTAGTGAAAAGGGTGATGAGAGTAGGGAGAAGGGTGATGAGAGTAGGGAGAAGGGAGATGAGAGTAGGGAGAAGGGTGATGAGAGTAGGGAGAAGGGTGATGAGAGTAGGGAGAAGGGTGATGAGAGTAGGGAGAAGGGTGATGAGAATAGGGAGAAGGGTGATGAGAGTAGGGAGAAGGGAGATGAGAGTAGGGAGAAGGGAGATGAGAGTAGGGAGAAAGGTGATGAAATAAGGGAGAAGGGAGAAGGGAGATGAGAGTAGGGAGAAAGGTGATGAGAGTAGGGAGAAGGGAGAAGGGTGATGAGAGTAGGGAGAAGGGTGATGAGAGTAGGGAGAAGGGAGATGAGCCTGCCGACAAATGCTAAGGAAGCGCATGGATCCATATAGGCGTAGGGAAAAGCATCCAACGACCCAAATATTGTTGCATATTCGGGTGGCCCATGTTCAAAAACACCTACCAGAGCAACTTCAGCTTGGTTCGCGCGCACAGAAAAGTTCGGCGCCCGCGATGACGGCCGTGTCTGCTCACAAATGCTAAGGAAGCGCATGGATCCCTATAGGCGTAGGGAAAAGCATCGAACGACCCGGTTGTTGTTGCATATTCAGGTGACCCATGTTCAAATACACCTACCAGAGCAACTTCAGCTTGGTTCGTGCGCACAGAAAAGTTTGGCGCCCGCGATGACGGCCGTGTCTGCCCACAAATGCTAAGGAAAGGAAGCGCATGGATGATGAGACTATGGAGAAGGGTGATGAGAGAAAGGAGAAGGGAGATGAGAGTAGGGAGAAGGGTGATGAGAGTAGGGAGAAGAGTGATGAGAGTAGAGAGTGTCAACGGGAGTTGTGTGTTGGCCCCGTCCTCGTTTGGGCGGAGCCGACTTCGTGGTCGGGTGTGAGGGGAGCAGCCGACCTGCAGCAGTGGGCGAGCTGGTTGACGAGGAGGTTGACCTGCACGGGGGCCACTGCACGGGCGCCGACTTCAGGGTGGCGCCGACTTCAGGGAGGTCGACCTGGGAAGTCGACCTGTGGAGGACGTCAACTTGGTGACGTCAACCTGGGGCAGCCGACTTGGGTGGTCGGCTGACAGGCCTACTGGTCGACCTGGTGGTTGGTCGACCAGGTCTGCTGGTCGACTTGGTGGTTGGTCGACCAGGTGTGATGTCGACCTGGTGGTCGACCTCAACTCAGGACGCCGAGCAGCTGGGCGTCGAGTAGCAGGGCGTCAACTTGGTGACGCCAACTTCGGGTAGCCGACTTGGGTGGTCGGGTGACAGCTGTGCTGGTCGACATGAAGCTGGTCGACCAGGAGTGCTGGTCGACGTGGGGCTGGTCGACCAGGAGGGACGTCTACCTGGAGCTGGTCGACCAGGGGTGTGGTCGACCTGGTGAGGTCGACTCGAGGTGGTCGTCGACTTGGGAGGTCGACGGGCACATACAGGAGCAGCTGGTCGACCTGGTTGCCCGGTCGACCAGGTTACCTGGGTGACGAGGTTCTGCGGAGGAGTGCGACGGTCGCCCAGGCGAAGTTGGCGAGTCCGACCTCGGTGGTGGTATCCCGAGGTCGACGTGGCTGATCAGATGCAGACGTCAGCGCCAGGTTGACTTGGTGTGTGCGCTGTGCAGGTGACGGGGCTCAGCACGCCAATCATCTGCGAGCACCTGTGAAGCGGGTGCGATGCTGTACTGCGGGAGCAACGCTGGCACGCCGTCGACCTGCTGCGTTGGCACGCCGTCGACTTTGCATTGCTGGAGCGCGGTCGACTATGCTGCGCTGGCAGTCGACCGACCTGAATGCTAGCTCTGATGTAGTCCTGCCATGCCAACTTCTTTGTACCATTATTGTCAACTTTCTCTAGTGAAACTCTTGCCAAATTACCCCGTGGTCTAGCAAGCAGTGTGTGCACTAGGAAAACGACTAAGGAACAACGAACGCAGAGATCACACGAGCACCCCTGCCTAGCCCGTAGTCTAGCTCCCGTTGTAGTAGTTATCTCCGCATGGTGCGGTGAGCGTGGACGGCACACGACTTACCTTTCAGTCAGGTCGACATAGAGGTCACTTACCTAAGTTGTTCGTAGGCCGGCAGCCGTGCAGTCACTAGCGTGCGCGTAGGTGACGCCAAGGGAATGGAGACCCTGGAAGCACAGCTGGAGGACGCGAGGACACGCCATGGGGCCCAGGAGTACGGAACGATCCCCTGGGCGGTTGTGGAGGCTGGCATTCGCACCATGTGGGCGACGTTGCACCCTTCTCAACCTGCGTCTCCTCGACCGGTGAACACAGAGGGCGGCGTCGACGTGGGCGTCAACGCCGGTGGTGGTCAAGTCGGCAGCAGTACGGGAGGCACGTCGAGGCAGAGAGGTGTGATACACGCCGATGAAGTCGGCGGCGTTCAGGCGCGAGGGATGCGGTCGACGGCGGCTGCAGGCACCTCGCAGGGCGACGTCGGAGGTCGACGAAGCGGGTTGTCGCCGATGTCGGCGACCCAGGTGACAGCGGGCGGTATTGCCCCGAGCTACGGCTACTTCAAGTTCACGCCGGACAGGATCCTGGTCACCCCACCACTCAGTGGTCGACCCGACATCCTCACCTGGAAGGAGGCCATCGAGCCTCAGCTGGAGATGGCTGGGCTGATCAGCTTTGCTCGAGGCACCGTGGTGACGCCGGACGACCTTGACATGCGAGCGGAGTTCCGTGCCGTACAGCTGTTGACCTTCACGGTCATCTCGCGGTGCTGCTCGCCGGGCGTGCAGATCGCCTTGAAGTGGTGTCGGGAGTACCTTGACGCCGGCCACCAGGCGTGGCACTTCATCGAGTCGACCTACCAAGTCACCGACGACCTGTTCATCGCCCAGCTGGAGGGGCAGCTGACGCACCTGCGTATGGGTGACGAGGAGACGGCGACCGACTACTGCAACCGGGCCCGGCGAATTCTCGCACCATCAGGATGGCCGGCGCGCAGTACTCGACGGCGTCGTACGTCACCCACGTCATGCAGGGACTCTCGAGCAGCTACAACCTCCTGAAGCGGTTGTCGATGGCGCCGAGCACGAGGACGACGCTCAACAAGGACAACTTGACCTCATACATCCTGCAGGACGAGGCGATGCAGGAGGCAGAGCGGTCACAAGAGCTCTTGGCGCAGGCCAACTTCGTCGCCCCGGCCAAGCAAGGTGGTCGACCGGGGCAGCGCGGACAGTCTGGTGGCGGAGGTGGCAGTGGCTGGAAGCCGGCCAAGGAGGTCGACCAGAAGAGGTCGACCAAGGATAGCGGTCGAGGAGGAGGAAGTCGACGCCGGGATTGCTGGCTGTGTGGCGACCCCGACCACCTCTCCTTCGAGTGCCCCGACCGCAGTGACTCCGACGACGACTACGCCAAGGGAGGCCGCGGGAGGTCTGGCAGTCGTCGTCCTCGTCGAGGAGGGAACAAGCCACGCAAGGAGATGCAGTCGACCAAGTCGACCTCGGCGAAGGACGCCGACTCCTCTGCTGGCGGCAAGGCGCGGGACGACAAGACGGCGTCGTGCTCGCTGGTCGGCGTCGTGGAGCCGACCGTCTCGCTGGCACCGGAGGCCGGAGAGGACTTCCAGGCGGTGGCGGCAGCTGTGCAGGCGAACCCGGCGGTGGTCCTGCTCGACAGCGGCTGCTCCCACCACCTGATGGGGACGAAGGAAGTCTTCGTCGACCTGTAGCCGAGCGGCTCCATCAAGCACGTCCGCGGCTTCAATGGGGCGCTGCAGGACGTCCAGGGCCGCGGCACCGTCGCCCTGCAAGGGGAGGCCGGGAAGCAGGTGCTCATCCCCGACGTGCTGTACGTCCCGGGTGTGCGGGCCAACCTGCTGTCGTCCGGCCAGCTGAAGGAGCACGGCGTGAAGCTGCAGGAGGATGGCGACGGGATGCTGCTCGTCTCGGCGGCGGGAGAGGTGCTCGGTCGGGCGACGTACTCCGGGCGTGTCCTCTGCACCGACCTGCGTCCCTGCTCCACGAGGTCGACGTCAACCACGCCGGAGGTTGTGGCCCTGCGGGCGATCGTCTCGAAGACGAAGTCGACGCCGGACCGGATGCATGCGAGGCTTGCGCACGTCGGCATGGACACCATACGGAGCTCGGCGAAGAATGAGGTCGCCATTGGGCTGGACCCCAAGTCGGCGACGGGCGCCGACTCACCGTGTGTCTCGTGCGTCGGCGGGAAGTTGGCGCGGCACACCTTCCCCGACCAAGGCTCCGGCGCCGACGACGTGCTGGCTGTCGTGCACATCGACCTGTGCGGGCCGTTCCGCGTGGCCGCCAAGGACGGCAGCCTGTACTTCTTGCTGCTGAAGGACCGCAAGTCCCGCTTCGTGTGGGTGAGGCCGGTCGCCAAGAAGTCGGATGTGCTGCTGGAGTTCCAGAAGTGGCTGGTGTTGGTGGAGAGGCAGACGAAGAAGTCGGTGCTGATGCTTCGCTCCGACCGAGGAGGGGAGTTCCTCGGGAAGAAGTTAACCAGCTTCGTGGACGGAAAGGGGATCGACCACGACCTTACCTGCCCGTACACCCCGCAGCAGAACGGCATGGCGGAGAGGGAGATGCGGACGGTGGTGGAGTCGGTGCGGACGATGCTGCTGCACATGGGCGTGCAGCACCACTGGTGGCACCTTGCTCTGTGGCAGGCCGTCTGGATCCGCAACTACCTTGAGAGGTCGACGCTGCCGCCGGGGACGACGCCGTACCAGCTGCTGGTCGGCCAGAAGCCCGACTTGTCGATGGCGAGGGTGTGGGGCTGCATGGCGCAGTTCCTTGTCCCCGAGCAGCAGCGTGGTGGGAAGTTGCAGCCGAAGGCCAGGTGGGGCCTTCACTTTGGCGTGTCGGCGGAGAGCAAGGGCTGGGAGCTCCTCGACATCGACGCCAACCGGGTGGTCACCACGTCGGATGTGGTCTTCTACGAGGAGATGTCGCTGGCCGAGTGGAAGTTGGAGCACGGGCCGGTGTCCGGCCGAACGCCGTCCACCCCGCCAACCGACACCTCGTCGGCGACGCTGCCTCTGCTCGCCGAGGTCGGTGGGCTTGCTTCTGAGGATGACGAGGTCGTCCGCCCTCCTTCCCCTCCCTCTTCTGCCCCTCCCCTCGTGGCCGACCTGCGCGGGCTGACCTTGGTGTCGGCCTCCGGCGATGAGGGGAGTAGTGGGACGTCGCCTTCGGCGCCGACCAAGGGCATCGCCGGTGGCCGACGTAACGAGCGGCAAGTCGACGCGGGAGTGACGCCGACGTTGACAGGGGAGACGCAGGTCGAGGAGGAGCAGCCGACTTGGGTGAAGTCGGCGAAGCAGGCAGCAGTGCAGCCGACCACGGAGCAGTCGACAACCGGGCAGTCGGCAGGGGAGCCGACCACAGGGGAGAGGTCGACCAGGAAGTCGACCGAGGGCAGTGAGGACGCCGGGGAGTCCACCAAGAGTGACGTGGTGGAGGTTCGGCCTGAACCTCGGAAGTCGGATAGACTTCGGAGGCCGCCGGACTTCTTCGTCCCCGCTGCCTTCACCACGGTGTACGACGTGGACGATGACGACGACCTGCTGTACGACGATGCCGAGGAGGATGAGGAGTTTCCGGAGCTCGACCCGGACATGCTGGCCGACCCCGAGCACCGTTGGGACATCTCGACGATGACGGTGAAGGAGGCTTTGGCAAGCTGGAAGGGCCCGGCGGTGAAGGCCGCCATGGAGGAGGAGATCTGCAGCCTCATCAACATGGGCACTTGGGAGTTGGTCGAACGCCCGCCGGGAGTCAACATCATGAAGAACCGGTGGGTGTTGACGACGAAGTACCACGTCGACGACACCGTCGAGCGCGAGAAGGCGAGGCTGGTCGTGAAGGGCTTCACGCAGGTGTACAGTGCCGACTACGACGAGACGTTCGCGCCGGTGGGCAGCTACGTCACGCTGAGGATCTTCCTCAGCATCGTCGCCATCCTCAACCTCAACCTGATGCAGCTCGACATGAAGAACGCCTTCCTGCAGAGCAAGCTCGACCGGGTGCTCTACATGTCCCAGCCGGACTACTTCAACGACGGAACCGGCCGGATCTGCAAGCTGCTGAAGAGTCTGTACGGCCTGAAGCAGTCGCCGCTGTTGTGGTACTTGGCGCTCAACGACGTGCTGGTCGGCGCCGGGTGGAAGAAGAGCCAAGTCGACGAGGCTCTCTACTTCAAGGTCGGAGAGGACGGAGTGGCCTGCTGGGTGCTGGTCTACGTCGACGACCTGCTCGCCGCCAGCAGTAGCACCGAGATGCTGAAGGAGCTGAAGGAGCTGCTAGAGTCCGCCTTCGAGTTGCGTGAGATCTCGCCGGTGCAGAAGTACCTCGGGCTGGAGATCGTCCGCGACAGGTCGGCGGGGAAGCTGTGGTTGCACCAGCAGGGCTACGCCGACAAGCTGCGTAGGCGCTTCATCGACGAGGAGCAGACCGGACGCACTCCGAAGACGCCGGTCTCGGTCGACGCCTACGCCGAGCTCACCTTCGATGACGAGGAGGCACAGGAGCGACAGGAAGAGGAGTACCGGCAGAAGGTCGGCTCGCTGCAGTTCGCGGCGACGACGACGAGGCCGGACATCGCCTTCGCCTGCAGCAAGCTGGGGAGCGGCCTCACGGTGAGGAGCGACCAGCACTGGCGCGAGGTCGACCGCTGCCTCGCCTACCTCACCAACACGCGTGACACCGCCCTGGAGTTCGGCGGTGGACCTGAGTCGCTGGAGCTGGTCGGCTACGTGGACGCCGACGACGCCGGTGACAAGCAGACCAGGACGAGCACGGGCGGCTACGTGTTCGTCTACGGAGGGGCCGCAGTCTCCTGGTCGAGCCAGCGCATCAAGTGCGCGACGTTGTCGTCGACTGAGTCGGAGTACGTGGCGGCCACCGAAGCCGGCAAGGAGGGACGTCGACTTCGCTTCCTCCTTGCAGAGTTCCAGCAGCTGGATGCTGGGAAGCCGACCGTCCTCCGGGTGGACAACAAGTCGGCCATCACGGTCGCCGAGGGCATGGGGTTGACGGGAAACCTCAAGCACATGGAGCGGCGACAGGCCTAGCTGCAGCACATGGTGAGGCGCGGGAAGTTCTCGCTGAGGTACATCCCGACCACCGAGCAGCCGGCCGACTTCCTGACGAAGGCGCTGCACTATCCGGCCTTCAACCGGTGCTCCGTCGCCATCGGCCAGGTGTGCTTGGCCGACGTGGGCGACGAAGTTGACGAAGTGCAGCAGTAGGTGCCATGCCCTCTTGCATGGCTGGTGCGGTGGACGACGTGCTGTGTGTTGGGTGCACGTCGACGAGCTTTTCTCCGAGGAGTACTGCCGTGCGGGCTGGGGGCCCAAGCGTGAACGCGGCAGGGGAGTGTCAACGGGAGTTGTGTGTTGGCCCCGTCCTCGTTTGGGCGGAGCCGACTTCGTGGTCGGGTGTGAGGGGAGCAGCCGACCTGCAGCAGTGGGCGAGCTGGTTGACGAGGAGGTCGACCTGCACGGGGGCCACTGCACGGGCGCCGACTTCAGGGTGGCGCCGACTTCAGGGAGGTCGACCTGGGAAGTCGACCTGTGGAGGACGTCAACTTGGTGACGTCAACTTGGGGCAGCCGACTTGGGTGGTCGGCTGACAGGCCTACTGGTCGACCTGGTGGTTGGTCGACCAGGTCTGCTGGTCGACTTGGTGGTTGGTCGACCAGGTGTGATGTCGACCTGGTGGTCGACCTGACCTGGTGGTCAGCGGAGGAGGGGCCGATGTCGACCTCAACTCAGGACGCAGAGCAGCTGGGCGAAGAGTAGCAGGGCGTCAACTTGGTAACGCCAACTTCGGGTAGCCGACTTGGGTGGTCGGCTGACAGCTGTGCTGGTTGACATGAAGCTGGTCGACCAGGAGTGCTGGTCGACGTGGGGCTGGTCGACCAGGAGGGACGTCGACCTGGAGCTGGTCGACCAGGGGTGTGGTCGACCTGGTGAGGTCGACTCGAGGTGGTCGTCGACTTTGGAGGTCGACGGGCACATACAGGAGCAGCTGGTCGACCTGGTTGCCCGGTCGACCAGGTTACCTGGGTGACGAGGTTCTGCGGAGGAGTGTGACGGTCGCCCAGGCGAAGTTGGCGAGTCCGACCTCGGTGGTGGTATCAAGAGGTCGACGTGGCTGATCAGATGCAGACGTTAGCGCCAGGTTGACTTGGTGTGTGCGCTGTGCAGGTGACGGGGCTCAGCACGCCAATCATCTGCGAGCACCTGTGAAGCGGGTGCGATGCTGTACTGCGGGAGCAACGCTGGCACGCCGTCGACCTGCTGCGTTGGCACGCCGTCGACTTTGCATTGCTGGAGCGCGGTCGACTATGCTGCGCTGGCAGTCGACCGACCTGAATGCTAGCTCTGATGTAGTCCTGCCATGCCAACTTCTTTGTACCATTATTGTCAACTTTCTCTAGTGAAACTCTTGCCAAATTACCCCGTGGTCTAGCAAGCAGTGTGTGCACTAGGAAAACGACTAAGGAACAACGAACGCAGAGATCACACGAGCACCCGTGCCTAGCCCGTAGTCTAGCTCCCGTTGTAGTAGTTATCTCCGCAGAGAGAAGGGTGATGAGAGTAGGGAGAAGGGTGATGAGAGTAGGGAGAAGGGTGATGAGATTAGGGAGAAGGGTGATGAGATTAGGGAGAAGGGAGATGAGAGTAGGAAGAAGGGTGATGAGAGTAGGGAGAAGGGTGATGAGAGTAGGGAGAAGGGAGATGAGAGTCGGGAGAAGGGTGATGAGAGTAGGGAGGAGGGTGATGAGAGTAGAAAGAAGGGTGATGAGAGTAGGGAGAAGGGTGATGAGAGTAGGGAGAAGGGTGATGAGAGTAGGGAGAAGGGTGATGAGAGTAGGGAGAAGGGAGATGAGAGTAGGGAGAAGGGTGATGAGAGTAGGGAGAAGGGTGATAAGAGTAGGGAGAAGGGTGATGAGAGCACGGAGAAGGGAGATGAGAGTAGGGAGAAGGGAGATGAGAGTAGGGAGAAGGGTGATGAGAGTAGGGAGAAGGGTGATGAGAGTAGGGAGAAGGGTGATGAGAGTAGGGAGAAGAGAGATGAGCCTGCCGACAAATGCTAAGGAAGCGCATGGATCCCTATAGGCGTAGGGAAAAGCATCCAACGACCCAAATATTGTTGCATATTCGGGTGGCCCATGTTCAAATACACCTACCACAGCAACTTCAGCTTGGTTCGCGCGCACAGAAAAGTTCGGCGCCCGCGATGACGGCCGTGTCTGCTCACAAATGCTAAGGAAGCGCATGGATCCCTATAGGCGTAGGGAAAAGCATTCAACGACCCGATTGTTGTTGCATATTCGGGTGGCCCATATTCAAATACACCTACCAGAGCAACTTCAGCTTGGTTCGCGCACACAGAAACGTTCGGCGCCCGCGATGGCGGCCGTGCCTGCCCACAAATGCTAAGGAAAGGAAGCGCATGGGTGATGAGAGTATGGAGAAGGGTGATGAGAGAAGGGAGAAGGGAGATGAGAGTAGGGAGAAGGGTGATGAGAGTAGGGAGAAGGGTGATGAGAGTAGGGAGAAGGGTGATGAGAGTAGGGAGAAGGGTGATGAGAGTAGGGAGAAGGGTGATGAGAGTAGGGAGAAGGGTGATGAGATTAGGGAGAAGGGTGATGAGAGTAGGGAGAAGGGTGATGAGAGTAGGGAGACGGGAGATGAGAGTAGGGAGAAGGGTGATAAGAGTAGGGAGAAGGGTGATGAGAGTAGGGAGAAGGGAGATGAGAGTAGGGAGAAGGGTGATGAGAGTAGGGAGAAGGGTGATGAGAGTAGAGAGAAGGGTGATGAGAGTAGGGAGAAGGGTGATGAGAGTAGGGAGAAGGGTGATGAGAGTAGGGAGAAGGGTGATGAGAGTAGGGAGAAGGGTGATTAGAGTAGGGAGAAGGGTGATGAGAGTAGGGAGAAGGGTGATGAGAGTAGGGAGAAGGGTGATGAGAGTAGGGAGAAGGGTGATGAGAGTAGGGAGAAGGGTGATAAGAGTAGGGAGAAGGGAGATGAGAGTAGGGAGAAGGGTGATGAGAGTAGGGAGAAGGGAGATGAGAGTAGGGAGAAGGGAGATGAGAGTAGGGAGAAGGGTGATGAGAGTAGGGAGAAGGGTGATGAGAGTAGGGAGAAGGGTGATGAGAGTAGGGAGAAGGGTGATGAGAGTAAGGAGAAGGGAGATGAGAGTAGGGAGAATGGTGATGAGAGTAGGGCGAAGGGTGACGAGAGTAGGGAGAAGGGTGATGAGAGTAAGGAGAAGGGTGATGAGAGTAGGGAGAAGTGAGATGAGAGTAGGGAGAAAGGTGATGAGAGTAGGGAGAAGGGAGAAGGGTGATGAGAGTAGGGAGAAGGGTGATGAGAGTAGGGAGAAGGGTGATGAGAGTAGGGAGAAGGGAGATGAGAGTAGGGAGAAGGGTGATGAGAGTAGGGCGAAGGGTGACGAGAGTAGGGAGAAGGGTGATGAGAGTAAGGAGAAGGGTGATGAGAGTAGGGAGAAGTGAGATGAGAGTAGGGAGAAAGGTGATGAGAGTAGGGAGAAGGGAGAAGGGTGATGAGGGTAGGGAGAAGGGTGATGAGAGTAGGGAGAAGGGAGATGAGCCTGCCGACAAATGCTAAGGAAGCGCATGAATCCCTATAGGCGTAGGGAAAAGCATCCAACGACCCAAATATTGTTGCATATTCGGGTGGCCCATGTTCAAATACACCTACCAGAGCAACTTCAGCTTGGTTCGCGCGCACAGAAAAGTTCGGCGCCCGCGATGACGGCCGTGTCTGCTCACAAATGCTAAGGAAGCGCATGGATCCCTATAGGCGTAGAGAAAGGCATCGAACGATCCGATTGTTGTTGCATATTCAGGTGGCCCATGTTCAAATGCACCTACCAGAGCAACTTCAGCTTGGTTCGCGCGCACAGAAAAGTTCGGCGCCCGCGATGACGGCCGTGCCTGCCGACAAATGCCCAATAAGCGCATGAATCCCTATAGGCGTATGGAAAGGCATCCAACGACCCAAATATTGTTGCATATTTGGGTGGCCCATGTTCAAACACACCTACCAGAGCAACTTCAGCTTGGTTCGCGCGCACAGAAAAGTTCAGCGCCCGCGATGACGGCCGTGCCTGCCCACAAATGCGAAAGAAGCGCATGGATCCCTATAGGCGTAGGGAAAAGCATCGAACGACCCGATTGTTGTTGCATATTCGGGTGGCCCATGTTCAAATACACCTACCAGAGCAACTTCAGCTTGGTTCGCGCGCACAGAGAAGTTCGGCGCCCGCGATGACGGCCGTGCCTGCCCACAGATGCTAAGGAAAGGAAGCGCATGGGTGATGAGAGTATGGAGAAGGGTGATGAGAGAAGGGAGAAGGGAAATGAGAGTAGGAAGAAGGGTGATGAGAGTAAAGAGAAGGGTGATGAGAATATGGAGAAGGGTGATGAGATTAGGGAGAAGGGTGATGAGAGTAGGGAGAAGGGTGATGAGAGTAGGGAGAAGGGAGATGAGAGTAGGGAGAAGGGTGATGAGAGTAGGGAGAAGGGTGATGAGAGTAGGGAGAAGGGAGATGAGAGTAGGGAGAAGGGTGATGAGAGTAGGGAGAAGAGTGATGAGAGTATAGAGAAGGGTGATGAGAGTAGGGAGAAGGGTGAAGAGAGTAGGGAGAAGGGTGATGAGAGTATGGAGAAGGGTGATGAGAGTAGGGAGAAGGGTGATGAGAGTAGGGAGAAGGGACATGAGAGTAGGGAGAAGGGTGATGAGAGTAGGGAGAAGGGTGATGAGAGTAGGGAGAAGGGAGATGAGAGTAGGGAGAAGGGAGATGAGAGTAGGGGAGAAAGGTGATGAGAGTAGGGAGAAGGGAGAAGGGTGATGAGAGTAGGGAGAAGGGTGATGAGAGTAGGGAGAAGGGTGATGAGAGTAGGGAGAAGAGAGATGAGCCTGCCGACAAATGCTAAGGAAGCGCATGGATCCCTATAGGCGTAGGGAAAAGCATCCAACGACCCAAATATAATTGCATATTCGGGTGGCCCATGTTCAAATACACCTACCACAGCAACTTCAGCTTGGATCGCGCGCACATAAAAGTTCGGCGCCCGCGATGACGGCCGTGTCTGCTCACAAATGCAAGGGAAGCGCATGGATCCGTAGGGAAAAGCATCGAACGACCCGATTGTTGTTGCATATTCGGGTGGCCCATGTTCAAATACACCTACCAGAGCAACTTCAGCTTGGTTCGTGCGCACAGAAAAGTTCGGCGCCCGCGATGACGGCCATGCCTGCCCACAAATGCTAAGGAGAGGAAGCGCATGGGTGATGAGACTATGGAGAAGGGTGATGAGAGAAAGGAGAAGGGAGATGAGAGTAGGGAGAAGGGTGATGAGAGTAGGGAGAAGGGTGATGAGAGTAGGGAGAGTGATGAGATTAGGGAGAAGGGTGATGAGTCCAGTAAGTGGGCTCCAGTCAGTGGGCTCCAGTCAGTGGGCTCCAGTCAGTGGGCTCCAGTCAGTGGGCTCCAGTCAGTGGGCTCCAGTCAGTGGGCTCCAGTCAGTGGGCTCAAGTCAGTGGGCTCCAGTCAGTGGGCTCCAGTCAGTGGGCTCTAGTCAGTGAGCTCCAGTCAGTGAGCTCCAGTCAGTGACCTCCAGTCAGTGAGCTCCAGTCAGTGAGCTCCAGTCAGTGAGCTCCAGTCAGTGAGCTCCAGTCAGTGAGCTCCAGTCAGTGAGCTCCAGTCAGTGACCTCCAGTCAGTGAGCTCCAGTCAGTGAGCTCCAGTCAGTGAGTCCAGTCAGTGAGTCCAGTCAGTGAGCTCCAGTCAGTGAGCTCCAGTCAGTGAGCTCCAGTCAGTGAGCTCCAGTCAGTGAGCTCCAGTCAGTGAGAACCAGTCAGTGACCTCCAGTCAGTGAGCTCCAGTCAGTGACCTCCAGTCAGTGAGCTCCAGTCAGTGAGCTCCAGTCAGTGAGCTCCAGTCAGTGAGCTCCAGTCAGTGACCTCCAGTCAGTGACCTCCAGTCAGTGAGCTCCAGTCAGGGAGCTCCAGTCAGTGACCTCCAGTCAGTGAGCTCCAGTCAGTGAGCTCCAGTCAGTAACCTCCAGTCAGTGAGCTCCAGTCAGTGAGCTCCAGTCAGGGAGCTCCAGTCAGTGACCTCCAGTCAGTGAGCTCCAGTCAGGGAGCTCCAGTCAGTGACCTCCAGTCAGTGAGCTCCAGTCAGTGAGCTCCAGTCAGAGAGCTCCAGTCAGTGAGCTCCAGTCAGTGAGCTCCAGTCAGTGAGCTCCAGTCAGTGAGCTCCAGTCAGTGAGCTCCAGTCAGTGAGCTCCAGTCAGTGAGCTTCAGTCAGTGAGCTCCAGTCAGTGAGCTCCAGTCAGTGAGTCCAGTCAGTGAGCTCCAGTCACTGAGCTCCAGTCAGTGAGCTCCAGTCAGTGAGCTCCAGTCAGTGAGCTCCAGTCAGTGAGCTCCAGTCAGTGAGCTCCAGTCAGTGAGCTCCAGTCAGTGAGCTCCAGTCAGTGAGCTCCAGTCAGTGACCTCCATTCAGTGAGCTCCAGTCAGTGAGCTCCAGTCAGTGAGCTCCAGTCAGTGAGCTCCAGTCAGTGAGCTCCAGTCAGTGAGCTCCAGTCAGGGAGCTCCAGTCAGTGACCTCCAGTCAGTGAGCTCCAGTCAGGGAGCTCCAGTCAGTGACCTCCAGTCAGTGAGCTCCAGTCAGTGAGCTCCAGTCAGAGAGCTCCAGTCAGTGAGCTCCAGTCAGTGAGCTCCAGTCAGTGAGCTCCAGTCAGTAAGCTCCAGTCAGTGAGCTCCAGTCAGTGAGCTCCAGTCAGTGAGCTCCAGTCAGTGAGCTTCAGTCAGTGAGCTCCAGTCAGTGAGCTCCAGTCAGTGAGTCCAGTCAGTGAGCTCCAGTCAGTGAGCTCCAGTCAGTGAGCTCCAGTAAGTGAGCTCCAGTCACTGAGCTCCAGTCAGGGAGCTCCAGTCAGTGAGCTCCAGTCAGTGAGCTCCAGTCAGTGACCTTCAGTCACTGACCTCCAGTCAGTGACCTCCAGTCAGTGAGCTCCAGTCAGTGAGCTCCAGTCAGTGACCTCCAGTCAGTGACCTCCAGTCAGTGAGCTCCAGTCAGGGAGCTCCAGTCAGTGACCTCCAGTCAGTGAGCTCCAGTCAGTGAGCTCCAGTCAGTGAGCTCCAGTCAGTGAGCTCCAGTCAGTGACCTCCAGTCAGTGAGCTCCAGTCAGAGAGCTCCAGTCAGTGAGCTTTAGTCAGTGAGCTCCAGTCAGTGAGCTCCAGTCAGTGAGCTCCAGTCAGTGAGTCCAGTCAGTGAGTCCAGTCAGTGAGCTCCAGTCAGTGAGCTCCAGTCAGTGAGCTCCAGTCAGTGAGCTCCAGTCAGTGAGCTCCAGTCAGTGAGCTCCAGTCAGTGAGCTCCAGTCAGTGAGCTCCAGTCAGTGAGCTCCAGTCAGTGAGCTCCAGTCAGTGAGCTCCAGTCAGTGAGCTCCAGTCACTGAGCTCCAGTCAGTGAGCTCCAGTCAGTGACCTCCAGTCAGTGAGCTCCAGTCAGGGAGCTCCAGTCAGTGACCTCCAGTCAGTGAGCTCCAGTCAGTGAGCTCCAGTCAGTGAGCTCCAGTCAGTGACCTCCAGTCAGTGAGCTCCAGTCAGGGAGCTCCAGTCAGTGACCTCCAGTCAGTGAGCTCCAGTCAGGGAGCTCCAGTCAGTGACCTCCAGTCAGTGAGCTCCAGTCAGTGAGCTCCAGTCAGAGAGCTCCAGTCAGTGAGCTCCAGTCAGTGAGCTCCAGTCAGTTAGCTCCAGTCAGTGAGCTCCAGTCAGTGACCTCCAGTCAGTGACCTCCAGTCAGTGACCTCCAGTCAGTGAGCTCCAGTCAGTGAGCTCCAGTCAGTGAGCTCCAGTCACTGAGCTCCAGTCAGTGAGCTCCAGTCAGTGACCTCCAGTCAGTGAGCTCCAGTCAGGGAGCTCCAGTCAGTGACCTCCAGTCAGTGAGCTCCAGTCAGTGAGCTCCAGTCAGTGACCTCCAGTCAGTGACCTCCAGTCAGTGAGCTCCAGTCAGGGAGCTCCAGTCAGTGACCTCCAGTCAGTGAGCTCCAGTCAGGGAGCTCCAGTCAGTGACCTCCAGTCAGTGAGCTCCAGTCAGTGAGCTCCAGTCAGAGAGCTCCAGTCAGTGAGCTCCAGTCAGTGAGCTCCAGTCAGTGAGCTCCAGTCAGTGAGCTCCAGTCAGTGACCTCCAGTCAGTGACCTCCAGTCAGTGACCTCCAGTCAGTGACCTCCAGTCAGTGAGCTCCAGTCAGTGAGCTCCAGTCAGTGAGCTCCAGTCAGTGACCTCCAGTCAGTGAGCTCCAGTCAGTGAGCTCCAGTCAGTGAGCTCCAGTCAGTGAGTCCAGTCAGTGAGTCCAGTCAGTGAGCTCCAGTCAGTGAGCTCCAGTCAGTGAGCTCCAGTCATTGAGCTCCAGTCAGTGAGCTCCAGTTAGTGAGCTCCAGTCAGTGAGCTCCAGTCAGTGACCTACAGTCAGTGAGCTCCAGTCAGTGAGCTCCAGTCATTGAGCTCCAGTCAGTGAGCTCCAGTCAGTGAGCTCCAGTCAGTGAGCTCCAGTCAGTGAGATCCAGTCAGGGAGCTCCAGTCAGTGACCTCCAGTCAGTGAGCTCCAGTCAGTGAGCTCCAGTCAGTGAGCTCCAGTCAGTGAGCTCCAGTCAGTGAGCTCCAGTCAGTGAGCTCCAGTCAGTGAGCTCCAGTCAGTGAGCTCCAGTCAGGGAGCTCCAGTCAGTGACCTCCAGTCAGTGAGCTCCAGTCAGGGAGCTCCAGTCAGTGACCTCCAGTCAGTGAGCTCCAGTCAGTGAGCTCCAGTCAGAGAGCTCCAGTCAGTGAGCTCCAGTCAGTGAGCTCCAGTCAGTGACCTCCAGTCAGTGAGCTCCAGTCAGTGAGCTCCAGTCAGTGAGCTCCAGTCAGTGACCTCCAGGCAGTGACCTCCAGTCAGTGAGCTCCAGTCAGTGAGCTCCAGTCAGTGAGCTCCAGTCAGTGAGCTCCAGTCAGTGAGCTCCAGTCAGTGAGCTCCAGTCAGTGAGCTCCAGTCAGTGAGTCCAGTCAGTGAGTCCAGTCAGTGAGCTCCAGTCAGTGAGCTCCAGTCAGTGAGCTCCAGTCATTGAGCTCCAGTCAGTGAGCTCCAGTCAGTGAGCTCCAGTCAGTGAGCTCCAGTCAGTGACCTCCAGTCAGTGAGCTCCAGTCAGTGAGCTCCAGTCAGTGAGCTCCAGTCAGTGAGCTCCAGTCAGTGACCTCCAGTCAGTGAGCTCCAGTCAGTGAGCTCCAGTCAGTGAGCTCCAGTCAGTGAGCTCCAGTCAGTGAGCTCCAGTCAGTGAGCTCCAGTCAGTGAGCTCCAGTCAGTGAGCTCCAGTCAGTGAGCTCCAGTCAGTGAGCTCCAGTCACTGAGCTCCAGTCAGTGAGCTCCAGTCAGTGACCTCCAGTCAGTGAGCTCCAGTCAGGGAGCTCCAGTCAGTGACCTCCAGTCAGTGACCTCCAGTCAGTGAGCTCCAGTCAGTGAGCTCCAGTCAGTGAGCTCCAGTCAGTGAGCTCCAGTCAGTGAGCTCCAGTCACTGAGCTCCAGTCAGTGAGCTCCAGTCAGTGACCTCCAGTCAGTGAGCTCCAGTCAGGGAGCTCCAGTCAGTGACCTCCAGTCAGTGAGCTCCAGTCAGTGAGCTCCAGTCAGTGAGCTCCAGTCAGTGACCTCCAGTCAGTGAGCTCCAGTCAGGGAGCTCCAGTCAGTGACCTCCAGTCAGTGAGCTCCAGTCAGGGAGCTCCAGTCAGTGACCTCCAGTCAGTGAGCTCCAGTCAGTGAGCTCCAGTCAGAGAGCTCCAGTCAGTGAGCTCCAGTCAGTGAGCTCCAGTCAGTTAGCTCCAGTCAGTGAGCTCCAGTCAGTGACCTCCAGTCAGTGACCTCCAGTCAGTGACCTCCAGTCAGTGAGCTCCAGTCAGTGAGCTCCAGTCAGTGAGCTCCAGTCACTGAGCTCCAGTCAGTGAGCTCCAGTCAGTGACCTCCAGTCAGTGAGCTCCAGTCAGGGAGCTCCAGTCAGTGACCTCCAGTCAGTGAGCTCCAGTCAGTGAGCTCCAGTCAGTGACCTCCAGTCAGTGACCTCCAGTCAGTGAGCTCCAGTCAGGGAGCTCCAGTCAGTGACCTCCAGTCAGTGAGCTCCAGTCAGGGAGCTCCAGTCAGTGACCTCCAGTCAGTGAGCTCCAGTCAGTGAGCTCCAGTCAGAGAGCTCCAGTCAGTGAGCTCCAGTCAGTGAGCTCCAGTCAGTGAGCTCCAGTCAGTGAGCTCCAGTCAGTAACCTCCAGTCAGTGACCTCCAGTCAGTGACCTCCAGTCAGTGAACTCCAGTCAGTGACCTCCAGTCAGTGACCTCCAGTCAGTGAGCTCCAGTCAGTGAGCTCCAGTCAGTGAGCTCCAGTCAGTGAGCTCCAGTCAGTGAGCTCCAGTCAGTGAGCTCCAGTCACTGAGCTCCAGTCAGTGAGCTCCAGTCAGTGACCTCCAGTCAGTGAGCTCCAGTCAGGGAGCTCCAGTCAGTGAGCTCCAGTCAGTGAGCTCCAGTCAGTGAGCTCCAGTCAGTGAGCTCCAGTCAGTGACCTCC